GCATTGTCGAAAATATTTTAGTTGGCTAGAGAATGTCCGAATATGCCCTCCATTAAATTTTCAAAGTGATCCGTTGTCTGGTTCACCAGAAACGTCTAATGTGCCATCCACCGTGAATCAGCCTGTATATCCAAACTTACTGACATTTCTTCAATTTTTCTGTTTAGAACAGTTGATGACAACACAATTATTGAAATATTATTCAGAAAGTCCAAGGAACAATTGAAAAATGTATATTTCAAAAACTTTAAAAAATGGTCAATTTCTTTTTGTCACTTCTCAAACTCTGTTCATTTTTGATAAGGACTGCCTGAGACTGATATATTTTCAACTGGTCTTGCATATGTACTAGTTTATCCTTCAATTTCAGATGAACATTTGAAGATACATCGGTGTGCCTTGTTAGGGAATCATTTATTTTTTCTAAATCTCTTTCTGCTCTCCTTATATTATCTGCTATCTGAAGGCTTTTAATATTCAAATTTCTTGAACATTCTTTTTTGATTTTCTGGCGTTCTGTCAACTTGTCAAAGTTTTCTTCAGAGGTTCCTTCCAAAGATTTGTTAATAAGTTTGAAAACACTTTGATTTTCTGAACGTCTTTCATAATTTCTTTGATTGCGTTTCTCCTGAATTTTCTGTATTCGCTTAAGTTTTTTTTCTACACTGAATAAGTTTTTGTCACCTCCAGCACATTCACGAAGATTCATACAATGATCTGGAAAATATGTCTTTCGTCAATAGGATATAATGAATTGATATGGTTATTTTTTGTTTTTCTTTCAAGAATGTAATTGATAATAACACATTTTGTCAACGTTCTTTGGGTATTTTTACCTTCCACAATCTGAAAAAATATGAAAACTGTAATGGACAACTTTATATGTATATTACTGGAGTTTTTTCCCAACACCAAATCGTTATTTTTAACACCTCGACACGTGTATGTCAAGGTGTTAAAAATAACGATTTGGTGTTGGGAAAAAACTCCAGTAATATTCATTACTACACCAAACGTTCCAAACATAAGAACTTTATATGTGTAGAAAGGACAAACTTTTCAGTTCACCCTGATGAGTTACTATGTAAATTCAAAGTATTTTTTACAAAGTAAAATGTTTTATTTATCAGTAACTTGTATTTAATAATTATGCCAATCAAAAAAATCAGCTGACAAAGTATACAGATACTCATGTTATCATTTAAGAGGCTAAAATTTGCACCGCCTTCAGAACTGGAAAAATCTAAGGATATTGGCAGTTTTTTCTTCACTGATTTGATTTATTTTTAAACTTCCTCGACAGGTGACCAAGAAGAATTTCATTCAATAATTACAGTTATTCGCCAAATAAAATTCAAATATGAAGACAAACAATTTCTCATAAAACAATATTCAATAAAATTGGTAAAAATTCAGACTGAGTCAATGGTATTGATTCTTCTTGCTTATTCCATTTGCTTGTATGCAAAACCTTTTCCATTTTATGAAAAATGTATTTTCATATATTTTTTTCATATCGTCCTGTCATAATTTTTGTTCAATGTGTATTATGTATTTACCTTTTTTAAAATTTGTAGTTTCTTGAAGCCAATAAAATTGAATTGAATATGAAATGGTAACTATGTAGCCATATAACTTATATTCAAGATTATACATTACCAAAATTGATATTATATTGTGAAAAAAATATTTTTTAATATTCATATCATGGCAAAAGAGATGAAATTTATCATAGATTATAGTGAATTACTTGTCAGCATGATGAATATTATGAATACGCATTGCAAAAAATTAATAAAGATACTTGTGGAATTGGCTGGGGTGGTAGTGCGCCCGACTCACGATCGGAAGATCGTGGGTTCGATTCCCGCCTCGACCAGATATTTTTCTCGAGATAATTTATCTGGTTGAAGCGGGGATGATTCTGCAACCGTGTTAGGAATCACAAGTTAAAAGGTAAGACCTCGTTAGTTCGTAGCTCGCACAAGTTTCTCAACCTCTGAGAGTTGTTCGTATGGGGGGTGACAGTCGGAAAAACAGGTAAACAGAAACTTCAAGATATACTGCTTAAAAAATCTGTTCTTTAAGATAATCAAGTGTAAAAACTGTTTCAAATGTGAATTAATGATTACAACTCTATTCATTCCTAGATAAATCAGCTGTTCTATGCAAAAATCAGCATGGAAAATTCATAATTTGTTAAACATACAAGCAAATGGTAAAAAAAGAGTAGATACTGTGTTTTGATTATTCTATATCCCGTAACAGTGTTATGCTATATCTCCAGAACCAGTGCTAGGCTATATCTCTGGAACACGTGAATGATGAATAGACCGGCTATGAAATTGCATTCAAACACGGTTTGAATAAATGTGCATACAACTCATTATTTTTGTTCCCAATTCAGTTACCATGTTTTAACATACAGCAGCCAAAATAGGTAGTTCATTAATCTCAGCAGAGATTATTAAACCAGTCTAATAGTAAATAATATGTTTTTACATAGTATATAAATCTAAAATAATGGAAGTACATAATTCTGAAATGAAAACAAGCATTTTCCGAGTTTTCCAACGTACTGAATATGAAGTAATATATATACTGTTGTTAGCACAGTCAAGTTATTCAGCAGTTACTTCATAATTTATTAAAAAAAATAACTTATTAAAAACATATGAATATGTAAAATACAGGAGTTTGATTCACATCAGTTGAAAAACCCTGAGAAAGTGCTGAAAATCGAAATGGAAGAGTTCTGAAAAACAATTAAATGTGTTATATACTCAAACGGTGTAAATATCTAAGACCAGATGGAATTTAGTTTCACTCGGAGCTAGTTCTTAGCAGCCACATTACTTTATAGTTTCGATATTTGGAACTAGTTTACTTTGAACAGCTATTTGTTGTGAACAATGAGAAATTATTTGACTTGCTATATTTCTGAAAATTTTTCATGAAAATATATCCACCATCAGCATGTTTGATTCGTGACTGATTTCCGTAATGGTTTGATTAAGTTCTTGGTAAATTTTCTTTCCAGCAACATCTTTAGAAAACAATATATAGAATGTATACAGAGGAAGTTTGACGAAAAAGATACATGCTGAAAGTCAAATCAAATTATAACAATGGACTAATGTAATTGTAATTTTTGAATAATATTCAAAGCAAGTTTTATAATTTTTTCATCAAAATTCTGAGGGGAATCTGACCCCCTGGCTACAACGTTGCTATACATGTTCTTTATAGCTTAACTTATACAAAAAATGTTCAGGAGGTTGAGTGTTGCAATACTAATCAATTATTTTGAAAATCAAAATTTTGAATAGAACATGTAAAATTTTTCTCAGAAGTTAAGAATATTATTTCTGAGAGTGATAGTTGGATTTCAACAGAATGAATTATTATTAAAATGAATTTTGCAAAAATATTCAATAAGTTACCTAATGATTTTCCAGGCGGCAAAACTACAGCGCTAACAGGATCAATTCGACCATCAGATTTTTTTCCCAAACCTGTACCTGTTATATATCCCATCTTGGTCATTAACTTAGAACCCATCCCCTAAAACAAATATGAATAATCAACACTAGGATCTCAGCCAGATGACCAAATTTCACCTTTGTATATTTTTCCCAATCACCTAATGCTTGTTCAGATGGAGTTATCAAAAGAGACTGATTTATTACATCCTCTCTATCAGCTTCTTGTTCATTAACCATTTCAGTCTCGCTGTCGCTACTTTCGTCACTAACATCATTTTTTTCATTGTCTAAGGGCAAAACGTGTTCAAAAATCACTTCAACTTGTTTCTTGTCACTTTCAAATTTCACTAAACATTTATCCTCATATATCTGTCTTACTTTTGCTCTAAACCAAAGATTACTTGTTTGCTTGACTAAAACTGGACTTCCAATTTTGAGAAGTTCAAATTTTGGTTCAACATATTGCAGAATATTAGAATATGGAACAACTTCTCCATGAGAAAATCTACATTTCTCTTCGGAAAATTTACAATCCGAGTCAAAGTAATAAGGACAGGGAAGCATTTCCTCGTGTGTGGGGTTTGTAAAGAGAACTCTAACCTGAAAAAGTTTCATTGGTCAATTGAAGTTATGGATTTGATTGGCTCAAAGTTTTACCTTAAAGTCATTTTCATTGTCTGCATCATCAGACACAACTGAACAAATCATTGCATTGTGATATGCAACATCCCCCCACTGATGCTGATGGGGAGCTCTACACTTCATTCCTTCAATATTTTTGGGAATTTCACATTCATGGGAATTTTTATTTGAATATTTTGTTTGGACAGCTCCTTCTTTTTCCATTTCATCCTATCAAAAATCAGAAAATATTAAATATAATATAAAAACGAGTGCAAAAGGCAAAAGAATAGTATACATTGTTAAAAACTGATATATGAGGTAATGAGGTACTCATACTCACACAAAATGGATTTTTATACTAAGAGGTCAAAATATTCAATATGATACCAGCAAATATAAAAATCCCCATAATTAGCTGATAGTTACAAAAAAACCTTTATCACAAGTGAAAACGGAAATCAAATACACATGGTATTCCACTGAACTTTAGAAAATTTGTTCGAAGGTGGTTGACAATGTTTCATGGTGAATTTCATTAGTTCGTACTTCCATTGTCAAATATGATATAATATAATGGTGATGCACTGTTTAGAACTTTTGGTGTAGTAATGATTATTACTGGAGTTCTATCCCAACACCAAACTGTTATTTTCAACCTCGACACGTGTATCAATCATCAAATGATCATCTTCAAGAGAAAGATTGAAATGTTTAATCATGCAGAATACTATTTAGGAATGTTTATTATATTATTTTTCACTATTAGCATAAAATATTTTAAATCAAATTTTCAGACACACAAACATATCGACTTTCTGTGTCAAGAAGAATTTGAGAAAATTGTTCCGCTCATTTTTTATTTTTTTCATAAATTCTAAAGATGTTTCCATGTTTTTAAGGAAATATTTATTTTAATGAACGTTAATAATGAAGAGAGTTATTTTATATTGAGTATTTATTTACCTGTTCTTTTTTAGTTTATCCAGTGTTTAGTACCGAGCACTTTAACTATCAGTGATTGGTGCCAAAAACTCAGCCATATATGTCTGACATACGCCAGAATTTTTCTTGGTTATTGAATTTTTTCAATCAACTGATGTTCTACATATTCCTGTCTGATGCCTCAAAATAAGTGCATCCAAACAAGCCAACAGTGACTTTTAATACAATTATTATTGAAGATGCCAAAGTACATATACACCTTGCTCCCAGATTTTATAAGCTTGTTAACAGAAAAACAGAAAAGACAGATACATTTATATAGTCAAGGCTTTTCCTCCAGGTATATTTAATAACTTATTTCACTTTACTGATTAGTTGCAGTAACAGAAAAATTAAACTTAATTTTCCATTGGATTTCATTCAGATAGAATTCTTGCGATTGAAAATGAAATTTTCAGATCTGTACTTCCTTTCTGACTTCTATTTGTTTTATCCAAGTTATTTGTAATATTTTTGAGATAACTGAGCAAAGTTAATATATATTTTGAGTCACAGAATTGTGTTTTCAAGTGCATTCAGTCATGTTGTTTAGTTTTTGTATGCTTCTGTCGATTTGATATAATACTGCATCATAATGATTGTTGTTAAGACCTAAATTATTGTGATTTAATTGTAAATCCTGTTGAATCATTTTAATTGGTTTTTAAATACTTAAATTGATGTGATTTCAATTTAAATCCTGTTAAGTCATAATGATTGGGATTTCAGTACTTTCAATCATATCTCTTCAATCCCTTCAGTTTCAATTTTGAATCTTTGATTTCATTAAATATTTTATATCTCCTGCAGATTCCAATCAAGAGACAAATATGGTTACCTTGTGTTATATAGTTTACGAAAATCCCTAGTGATTGGAGAGGCATATGTTCTCTTCGATGAACTGGAGGGCACTAAATCACACTTTTAAGATGAATGTTCAATATGAGAAATGTTCAAAAATATTCCATACAATGTAAAACATCCCTGCAATATGAAATGTGATGCAAATAAATAACATGAAATGTAGCCTCAAATATTTTCAATAATTTACTGTCTTTTTAATTTTTATTGCCCATTGTTTTTTGACCATCAATATGATAACTGATATGGTCAGACCCTTTTCTCAAAGAGGGCTCACCAGCATGACTACTTTGTGAGGTAAATAATCGTTGTTCTGAGCAGATACGATGCCAATGAATTTCTGCAGCAGTGTAGCAAGCCGGTAAAATCTTGACTAGGGTGGGCATCATTCCGGCAAGGATTCCAATAACCGGTACAATCATTTTAACAGAACGATCCGAGTAGAATGTGAGAAGTTCAAAAAGAAAAATCTAGATGTTTCAAAGATTGTTTTCTCCTATTTTTGGATGATAATCGTCACACTCAGAACCGAAAACACTTTCTAACTTGAACCCTTACCATGAATAGAGCAAATTCTTCGGACATCTTATTATTGCTTGTTGATGCTTCATCAACTCCATCATTATCTTTCGAAAGAGAAAGCAGTTCTTCGATGTTGGATTTCAATGCGAAAAGTTTATTTTTTTCCAATTCATCACAGGAAATGAGTAAAGCTTGATTTACGTGTTGAAGCTGGAAAATAAAAATTAGCAAGTAAAATTTTCAAAACAAATTGATTACCTGTTGTTTGTATAAACTCAGTTCCTCAGAATTCATTTTGGAAAAAGTTCAGGATCTCCAAAGTAATAATATTATTAATTTACATCACCGTATGCAAAACTGCAGATTACTATTCATAAAAACTCTTCTAAAACATATCGCATATCAAAAATTTATTGATTATCCAAAATCAAAATAACTTGGAAGTTTGTCATTTGTCATATTTTTTTTCGTTTGTGGGCTAGATTACTAGACCCTTACCCATTTCCAACAATTATATATCAGGATTGCATAACAATAATCGCCTTCCGGTTAGTCCGTAAATAACCTGCACGAAACAATACCATCACCCTACATACTTGGGTCCTCATCAACTTTGTTTAACACATCGATGTATTTTACTTCTCTGCATATGTTTCTTTCGACTTTGTCGAATCCGTCGATTCGACATTTTCAATTCGATTCGTATTTTGTATACACACGTAGTTTGGATGACAATGTTTCTGTTCTTCCGTTAACCAGCTGTCACACCCCTGCGAACGACAACCCTCAGAAGTCGAAACTTGTGCGAGCTAAGGATTAACGAGGTCTTACCTTTTAACGTGTGATTCGAAACATGGGTTGGGCGATAGCAAGTGAAAATCGATCGTTCAGACTAGGGCTTGAACCACCGACCAACACGGCAGTCAATTCGAGTGAGTGAACAAAGCATCCACGTCGAACCGCCTGGCTACTGACACCATTCTACATCGAACATAGTGGACCGCCCAAAGTGTCGGATTAGTTTTTTATGCACTCCTTATGATATGTGTACCAAAGGGAACAGTTTGGTAAAAAATACGAACAATAACATAACGTCACTCTGAATCCGATATGGTGGTCCGCTCAAGATGTCGTACCGTTTTTTATGCACTGCTTATGATATAGGTATCAAATGAAAGGGTTTGTTTACAAAAAAGAACAATAACATGACATTACTGCAAATCCAATATGACGGGTCACCCAAGGTGGTGAACTAGTTTTTCTTGCATTTCCAAGACATGGATATCAAATTAAAGGGTTTGATGAAATGAACACAGAAAATAAAATGACGTCACTATAAAACTATAAATTCAATATGGCAGACTCCCAAAGAAGATTGACTATGTTTTTGTGCACCCCTTGATTTGATGGGGATATCAAATGAATGGAGGAATAGGAATCAAATGGCGGAAAACATAATGACTACCATACCAATTTAAAAAAGTTATAACTTGGAAAAAGTTAGGGTAGTTTGTAGATTAACGAATGTTGTAGAAATCGACCATGCTTCATCGACGCAATAAATGAAATGAACTAACTTAGAAACATGTCCAGTGATGTCTGAAAAATAAAAATCAATAATTAATAAATTCTTGACCTTTATGTTAATGTTTCAGATTATTTTAGTTCTTAAGCCTGCTTTGTCAACAAAACCTAAACTTTTATGACAATAAAACATTTCTGCCTCTGACTATGTGCCTGTGCCTTGACTTGACGTTTTAGCTATACTGTGACTTGACACTCTTGACAGCTCATTGACATTTTTTATCGATGCAACAGCATGAAACCGCGTGGAGTTTGTTTAGCTTTTTAAATGTTCCATTTTCGTTTTAATATATGTATGTATATGAATCAGGCCTGATGGTTTTAGAAAAATGAGTACCAGTGACGAAATATCTTGGACTGAAGTATCCTTCGAAGTTAATTCATCTTCTGGAATTTATGAAGATCCAGAAGTAGATCTTGCATCAGTAGTTGTAGGAGCAACCACAAAAGAAAATGAAATAAAGGATAGAATAAAGCAATATGTAAGTATAAGAAAACTTTTATTTGTTTTTATTAAAACCTTAATTTTCAGTTGAACATATTCAGAAATAGTACAGACCAAAAAGATGTAAAGGAGGAGGCAAAAAACTTGCTTTTGCACTTTTTTACAAAGTATAATAATAAAAAAGCTTTGAAGAAATATTTACAAGACATAGTGGGAAAATCCAATTTGACAAGTTTAATAATAAAAACCACAACAGAGGAGATTTTAGAGAATATCAACAATACACGCTGTAACTTGAATCTATGCACAGATCTACTCAACTTTGTGAATGTGATGCAGAACTCCATAGAATATGATTATGAAATGACCATAGAATACCTGTTTCCATTGTATTACAAACTTTTTGAGGGATTTGTATACCATTCAAAGTGAGCTTGTGTTTTCCAGTGGTAAAACTAGTTTTGCATGTATCAACATTAAAAAACACCTAAATGTCCTACACATCCTAAAATATTTCATCAATGTACGCCAAGAACATTGACAGAGTTTTTTCAAGAAAAAGTGATTAAATAGATAATAGAAATAACAGTATCGAGTATCAGGTATTTGAATGTTGAACTGAAATGATGCTTTTTCTACATGCATACATCTTAGACTTAGTTTTCCTGTCTTGTCTCTAAATCTTATTTTTTCCTAGAGACAAAAAATCTGTTTTTCCTTTAATCAGCTGTCCCACCTCTCCGCCCCTTTCAATGTGTGCTTCCTAGCACTTGATATACATGAAAGATACATAATTCCTAATGAACAATATGACTTTTAATCAAAGAATGCCAGAGATAACTGTTGAAAGCTATTCTCCGGGTTTGTTGGCTGTGATCTGCAGATTTTTAAGCCTGACATTCTGTCTATTGAACTGGAAGTAGTATATGTTGAGAGGACAACGAGAACACTGCGTCTGTTACCTCATCTCTGTTGATAATGTCCACCTCAATCGTAGACGAAACTTCAGGTCTGAAAACCACCATGGCTAACAAACCCAGAGAATGGCTTTGACACAATAGGGCTGTTTCTGTTTTACTTGCCACTTTCACTGATGATTATATTACTAACTTTCAGAAAAATTCTATTCAATCTTATCATAATTCATGACAGGTTTGTTCTACCACTTAACCTCTTCTTGTAACACATAGAGGTAGCTTTAGAATAAAATGGTAATTTTTGTGATTCTGTGAAAATAATATTTCAAGGAGATGAATTCAAATATAGTGTACTAAATTTCTTAAGTAAGAAGTTTAATCTGAAATTCAGCTCTATGTCAAGGAATTTGGTTACTTGTGATACCTGCAATTCGTTATTATTAATATTGAATTCTAGATCATTAGATGATTTATTTCATTGATTAAAACATGGTTTTGCTTACACCAGTTGGAAAATTTCCATACTGTTGATTCAACTTTACTGTTTAATTCTTCTATAGTACTTGATATCATGACAATAGTGGTGTCATCGCAAAGATGAATACTTGTGCTTTTGAGACGTAAATCATTTATTTTTAAAAAGAAAAGTAATGGTCCTAGGAGAACTGGACAAGCCAGACAGTTCCCAAGTAATAAAAAAGATGATTCTAGATCATTAGATGATTTATTTCATTGATTAAAACATGGTTTTGCTTACACCAGTTGGAAAATTTCCATACTGTTAATTCAAATTTACTGTTTAATTCTTCTATAGTACTTGATATCATGATAATAGTGGTGTCATCGCAAAGATGAATACTTGTGCTTTTGTGACGTAAATCATTTATTTAAAAAAAGAAAAGTAATGGTCCTGGGAGAACTGGACAAGCCAGACAGCTCCCATGTAATGAAAAAGATGATCCTATCACTCTGCCTCAAAATAGAAAAAAATATATCTTGATCCAAAAAAACAATATCGATCTTGGTCCAATGGTCCCTTATGTGAAATAATGTAGAGTGTGTAAAATACTTGTAAATTTGACCCCTTGATCTTCAATTTCAAAGTGAAAACTTCCATTCTTTTCAATTTTTCTCATAAATTATGAACATTTGCGAATTTGTTTTTCATGTTTTCATTCTTTTCTCAATGATAGAGAGAATGACAAAAAAATCGGTCAAACGTCAAAAATGAAAAATATCACAGCTATGAATTCTCAAAAATTTATCTGTTTTTGAACTTGTTCTGAAAAAAACCATGTAAATATATATTTTAAGTATCAGGGTTAACAAATTGAGATAAAAACTGATATTCAAATTCTATATTTTCAATTTTGAAAAGTTTTGGAAAAAATCATGTGAATTTATATTTTAAATAATTATTTTTTCTTCAGTGATTAGTTACATAGAGCAAATCATAAATAAATAGTACTGTATGTTCTTTATTTAAACTTTTAAAAATGTCACAGTCGTTAATATCAATTGTTGTTTTCCTCAATTCGCCAAATTTCTGAAAATCCATGTCTTAGTTGTTTTTCAATTATTTGTGGCATGCGACCATTGATTTTCTTGTCATTCCTTTAACTTTTTAGAAAAAAAATGAAAAAAATCAAATTTGAAAATCTCTTTATAGTTTTCCCTTATTCTACATAATTTCAACTAGATACTGTTGGACCGAAATCGATATGTTTTTTAGATCAAAATACCCCTTTTTGATTTTTTTTTAATTTTATTATAATCCAGTGTGCATTGAGGAAGTTCCTCCTGTCATCGAATATTTTTTGTTTTCTGTATAAAATTTTAGTGGTTCACCACTGATGTACTGTTCAATCCAAGATTGGATGGCTCTACAAATGCCCATTGCTTACAGCTTCACTTTCAAGATTTATTTATTGAATCAAATGTGCAGCTTTTGTTTGAGTTGATGTTGTCGTGTATGTCGTTGAATTAATTCTATGGACACTGTTTCAGTGAAATAATTGGAGTGAAATTACTGACTGGGACTGACTATGTTTTGATATGCTAAGTAGTTAATTATTTGGTTGTAAACGGCAGTTACCTTTGAGAATCAATTTAAAATGCAAATCATTCAATAATACGTGTCAATAAATACATCCCCAGTGTATTGGGATGTCCCCCAATACATTGAGGGTCATCCCTTTTAAAAATAGGAATACTACTAAACAGTAGGTTTGGAATTTTGTTGAAGTCAGTGGAGTAATTCTATCAGACATAGAATAAATGTTTTGATGTCACAATCTATCAAAGGTTGGAAAAAGTTGGATGTGAAACTTTTATTCTCTATAAAAGCACATTTTTGTAGAAATGTTTAACAATGTGATTTTGTTGCTTACAATTACAAAAAAATGTACAAACTGGTTTGTGATATATTTACTGTTTGTGGTTGTCATTCCATTATGTATTAGGATAATTTTTCTCTTTTTCTTAGTTCTGCCTAGCTTGTCGTTAACTAATTTCCATAAAGATTTAGGTTTATTGTTAGAAATAGATATGATATTTGTATAATTAGAGTTTTCTTCTCATCAGAAATTTGTTTGTCAAATACTTTTTTGAATCTGAGTATTTGCCAAATATATCCTGATTAATGAATGTTGTTTAGCCTCTACGTAATCAAGACATATGCTTGTTGTCTTATCACCATATATCCAAGTCGGTACACAGATGGTAAAACTAAATTAAACATTTCGAAAGTATCAGAAAGCTGGTTTTTATAATAATTATTGTTCATTCTGTACTTAAGTTAACAGTTATTTCAAAATGAACCTGTCTTCACTTTTCAGTTCTATTTACTCAATGAACTGTTGGTTCTCTTCCTTAAGAGTTCATTTTCAATATGGAAAATGTACTGAAATGTGGATGTTTCGTTATCAATTTGCTGAATGCAAAAAATTGATATTATGTTCTTCAAATCATCTTATGTACATACAAAAATGATTGTATGCAAATATGTTTAATCATTATTCTGAAGAGTTTGAGCAGTCACCAGTATCATTTGATAGAGGTGACTGAATTATGCCCTTACGCACCATATAATTATTTCTTCGTTAGGGTAAATAAAGACATTTTATTAATATCGTATTATTAAATAAAGAAGATAATTATTTCCAATAAAGTGAATGAATAATGAAGTTAATGTTACACCCTTAGTGACCTGGAATGAACTAGTAAAATATTTTTCTCCCAAATTGTAGTACACTTGTTACTTTCACTCTCAAGAATAAGGTTCTGATATGCTGCTGATTTCTTCAATAAGGAAACAAGTATAGCTGAGGCACCAGTCAATCTATTAATAACACTGATGATCTTCGAACAAGACTCAACCTCTGACAAAAGCAAGAAACTCTTTGGAAGGTTCGAGATAGATAAAAATTTCAATCTAGCAGACCACTATTATGATATTCATGCAGTCATTGTTCCCTGTGGTTCTGGCGTTGAATTTGGTCATTATTACGCCTTGGTCAAAGACGAAACGTACTGGTTTAAGTTTGACAATAGTCGTGTCACGAAGTGTTCTAGCGATGCATTGAATCTATTGGAGCCTCTGGAGACACCCTACATTTTGTTTTATAAGAGAGGACATTGGTAGATCAAGATCTTCGGATGATGTGGTGCTGCAGGTTTTTCTGGGTTTTCCTGCAGCTGAAAAAGCAAATGCGCCACTGGAATCAATGAAGTCGCCCCGGAGCTCCAATTAATTTTTATTGTTGTTTTTATTTTTATCGTTGTTTTAATAAAAACTAGTATAGGTGAACACTTGATTATCACCTTTTATGTTTGCTTGGGTCATCAGAAACAGGTTTTGCCAATATCTCTGAAATATCTATTACACTTGTTCAACTGATGACCTATTTATTATGTAGAAATTCCTACTAAATATAGGATAGGGAAAATAACTTTTGTCTAATTTTTACTAAGATTTTTCTAAGTAGAAATATCCTACTATTACAATATCATTACACTTTAATATAAGTGTAACCCCTTACTCTTATGCATGTGACCTCAACGATCACCAGATTTTTTGTCCCTCTATTTCCTTTTGTGGAGATACCAGAGTAAAATATCTAGAACACAATCAGTGTCTTGGAAGATTTCTTATGAGTGCTGTCAAGTCACTCCAGAAATGCTATTAATTCTAGAACATTTGAAACAAAATATTAATTATGGTATGGATGCGAGTATTATCAGGTTTTCAAATAAGTAGTGTAAGCAGATAGACATAATCAAATTTTGAAATTTAATGTTTCACAAACCTTTAGGGAAATTTAAAGTTTAAAATTCTGCTGTAAAGATGATTTCCGGGGTTCAAAAACCCAGTTGGCATTAAAGGAATACATTTTAGTACACATTCTATAAGGAAACATTGAGTTTCCGTCTCATACATATAGTATATAAAAGTTGCACTAGTTTTATCATTGAAAAACTATTAATTTTCCTAAGATATATGATGGAATTGGCTGATACTTGATGAAAATCCGTAACTAATGTATTCAAGAAACACTTTATTGTGAGATTTTCACTAAACAATTTTAGAGAAACGTAACAAGTGTTTCGCCATACAATGGCTTCTTCAGGCATGTCTCACAATAAAGTGCTTTCTAAATACTTATTTATAACATGTTTTTTTTTGCAGATCTACTTTTGAAAAGGTTTCCTCAATTTTGGATGAATTAATTAGTGTTGTTAATGTTGTTCTCAAGCAGATATTGGCTGTTTTTGGTAAAGACATTCCCTTTATCGAAACTTTGTCAAAAATGTATAGTGCCAAATTAATTGTTTTGGCCCATACAGTTGTAAACCATGAAGAAATTGGATTCGACTTGAAAACAAAGGCTGGATTAATTTTCACACATTCCTTCAATATTATTCCTCAAAAGTATCGTAAAAACTTTGTGAGTTTTTAGTGTATGGAATCCATTTATGTGACTAAATTTTATTTTTTTAGAAATATGAAGATTGTCCCCAGTTGGCATTCCTGAGTGAATATAATGAAGAAAAATGTTTTACATTGATCAAGAATAAACTACCTGTTTTTGAACACGGGGATAGCATAGTAATCACCTATGCTTCAATTCTGAATGTTCTTCCACAGGAAAAATTGTTTGAACTTACTATCAACGGTAAAACACTTGTGTGTTCGTTATATCAGGGGCTCATGAACTGTGCTAGAAGGTATGAATGAAATATTGAAGGTCCTCTTCAAAGACACATTTCTAGCTTTTGTGATATAAACTCAATTTAAATTTTTTACAAATCGTTATAGAGTGTGTCACAGCATTGTTGTCACAAGAGGTATAATGGACTAAAAAAATTCGAATTATATTTTTAGATTATGGTATCGAGTTCTGGTTAGTGAATACGTTTTGAGAATACCTTCAGTTTTTGAAAAACTAGTCGACCTCGACGATGAAGCGAACAACCATTTTCATTTTAGATAATGTATTGTTTTTGTTCATGATATGTCAAAATGTTATTGAGAAAAGTTATAATAATAATAATACGTCTTTATCCACTATAACAAACCAAAATGAATGCAACAAATAGACATCTAAGTTATAGGTGAAAAGGCGGAGTATCAGCATAACAGATAACAGCAGTCTAATGCTAGCTTCCGACGTGGAATTATATATTTGTTATGATTAGTGTGTATTAATATATTTTTGTGGTTGATTCGATGTATTATTAATGGGTCTAACATAGAATTCAATATTTCATCATTCTGGTTTCTTAGACTATTTGCATATTTTTCATTTTCAGGGAATCAAGCAATCCACACATAATTGTAGAAACAAGTAGAGCTCTTACCACTATCGGAAAACAACTGAAGTTTCTTCCACGTGATTTGGTAAAACCTTTATATTTGGAAGGCATAGCATTTGTTTGGTCCCACATTGAACATTTTGTCGATAGTGTTCGAAATTATACCAAACTTTTTTTTGTTGAATTAGTCATTGTAGCAGCTACTCATAGAAACGAAGGTAAATATTTTTATATTTTATTGTTTAGAGTTCAATTATCCTGTCAGAGTATTCAATGAAACGAGTTGGATTTTAAAAAATGCAATGGATCTGGTTGATCTGTTTTAAAATCTATGTTTCCGTTAACTAAGCTAAGCTAAGGATTAACGAGGTCTTACCTTTTAACGTGTGATTCCTAACACGGGTTGGACGATAGCAAGTGAAAATCGATCGTTCAGCCTGGGGCTTGAATCACCGACCAACATGGCAGTCAATTCGAGTGAGTGAACAAAGCACCCACGTCGAACCGCCTGGCCTACCGACCAATTCATATTGGAACTTACTAATAACAGTTTTCTGTAAGATTTTCACTATAAAAGGTTCACGAAACAAGTGTTTTGTTATAGAATAGCTTCTTCAAATAGGAATGATCCTGCTGTGAAAATATTGCAGTAAAACTGTACCAGTAAGTTGCAATATCAATGACCATTCATAGTTACTATTAATACATTATGGCATTTGTGTCTTTAGAAATGACTTGTGCGTGGCTTCTAGTGTTCCATCTCAAGGCATTGATTGGTCCTATCTTTCTTTCCATCCTCAAGTTAGTAAAATGAAATGGAGGAAAAACTTAGCAAGTTTTTCATCATTCTTACCATTATTTTTTCTGCTGATCGCAAATCTAAAATTTGTAGCAAGCATCAACTTTTGGACATATGACCAATAAAATGTTGAAAATATGCAAAACAAATGAGGCTTAGGTCGTAAATGAACTAAAAATTAAAACAAAACTTCAAATCTCAACTCAGATTTAAGAATATTCGACAAGAGCTGAGAATAAAAAAATTTTCATTATCAAATCATGTTTTGAATTTGAACTATTCTGAATATTTTATGAAAAATTGATTACTTAAAAGCAGACCTTGTATTTGATATATCATTACAAAATTGTTTGAAATTCAAAGAAATGTTGAAATGGAGAATAATAAAATCAACCCTGACTGTTGTGATTTTTTAAATACTTCTAATTCTCTTACTGTCAGTCTTTGAAGGTATATTTTTATAAAAATGTGTTCGAATTCAATATATAATCTCTATCTTATATTTTTTGTCAAGTGTTTATTTTCTTCTTTGTTGTAAGGGCATGTTGAATTGGCGGATATTCTTATAGAAAATGTAAAACAGTTGGAAACAACTCAAACAGTCCGTTTCTTGGCCATGGAAAATATATCACTTAATATGGGTTGCACTTACCTCTTACAGAACTTCAATGATTTACCAGATGATTTACTGAATGTTATATCAAACCCAACCATATCTGAGCAAGTAAGTACAATGGTACAAATAAATTTTCATGGATCAGCAACAAATATTTTCTATAGATTCTGAATCGTCATGATTTGTCTTTGATTATTATAATTATGATGAAAATTGTACATATTTTGCATTGTATTTATTTTTTCCATGATTCAAATGTTTCAGTATAACTGAAATTCGATTATTTTTCATAATTTCATTTTCCATAGTTTTCAGATGTATTATATAAATTTCAGTTCACTGCCTTTTTTCTTATCTTAGTATAGTTTTCAGATTTCTGGAATAATTCATTAAAAATGTATTTATACCTCTCACGAACTCGAACTGTAATACTTTTTTCGACATGAGTTTCACCAATCAAGTTGGTATCATCATGATATTATCTAAACAGTAAAGTATAGATCATTCCCTGATGGCTCTCTTGGTTGGTGAACCGCACGTCAAGTGCTACACAGTTTTGTTGTGGGGAAGAAATGGTTTTGTTGAATTTTTTCAGTGCTTTTATCTAAAGGTCTGTTATATTTTTGTTTGGAAAACCAAGTACTGTCTCAGTAGCCTGGTTATTACATGTTTTCTGTTAAATATATGTCTGTAAGAATTTCTGAAAGGTATAATTGGAACTAAATGAATCTAGAAAACACTTCTTTCACAACATTACAAAAACATTCAAAACTTGGTCAGAGAAACGCTCCTCTAGAAACTGGTGTCTGAAAAGTATTTTCAATAGAATGGAAGTTCTATTCAAAGGTGCCAATTATTGTAAAAATAGTATGAAACTTGTATTCTGTCCACTGAATAATTTTATTGTGGCTTGTAACTGAACTATTTACAAAACATATATATTCAACAATATTTTAGGATAAATACAAAAAAAAATCATCAAGTCGTTAAAGGGCCACAGTATTTTTATGTCGTAATATATCAATGATTCAGATATTTACGTTTCAGATTCCTTTATTCTCCTTTTTGACATGTATAGTAATAATCATATAAAACTCAAGCTACTTCCAATTCTTGAACTGTAATATTTAAAAATAAACCACATACTAAAATTGGACCCTAAGACTACACTGACATACAATACGTCCAGTGAAGATAAAGTTGCTTTCTTTGCAAACTTTTGCAATGATGGTTTTGTTTCAGGATGCTACCTCTCAATGATTAAAAAAGTAATTCAAAGTTTATAAGGTTTCTTCAATTAGGAATCAAACCTGACCAGTATAATATAAAAATCTTTTTTTTTTGTTTTGTGTAAATGAATGAACATTGGCATTTGTGGTATAACTTTGCTTGTTTTTAATAGGCAAGCATATTTCTGAAATATATGAACTTTTTAAGGTCAATACTTCAAAGTATGACAATATTGTTTTGCATGAGAAATCTTTTTGCTTTCTAGCCTTTCATCTCAGAATTCTCTTCTGCAATTGAGAAAATTGAAATTGTATTACACGTGTTTCCACAATTTTCTCTCAAGTATTTTATTGATTATTAAATTTAAGTATTTATGCATTTGATATTAGAGAATTTTCAGGATGGTTACAATTATTCATAAAAGAAGACTTGAAATCAAATTGATGCATTCAACAAAATTATCACGGCTAATGTACAGAAAGTAAGCAAATGAAACATCGAAATCGTTTTTTGTGGTATAGATTTCTTCGCCCATATGAGTTTGCTGATTTTGTTGTAAATTAGTCCCAAAAACATAATTCAAGTGGAACAACACTTGAATTATCTCCTTTCAAATAAAAAAAATGTCATCAAAATCAGTCAACATTGTAAGGAATTATGACTGAACATTAGAATCTAATTAGAAAAGTGATAAAAATGTTTTACGAAAAATGAGAAATTGAAATTTTTATGTTTTTTTACCACTTGTATTTGTACCTAACATTACTGAAGTTTCGTACTATAAGGACACTTTCAAATGATTACAATTGAAAATGTCTTTATAGGACTGCAGTAACATTAGTTACAAATACAAGTGATAAAAAAACATAGACAGTTTTATTTCTCATTTTTAATGATGATCTCCCGCCACGTAGTATTGGCTACATCCATCAGTTTATTAAAAAGGTTCTACTTAGCACGTTAACAGGCACATGTATTATCGGTTGTTAACTGACATGATATCTAAAATGCTGACCAAATGTACAGCATATTGTGAATACGCCATAACTTTGGTTTTTTTATCCATGTTTTTTACATTCTTAATGTTTCACTTACCAAACCAATGGTGCCACACATTTACTTTCATGCCAAAAAACAACTTCATTCGGGGAATTGCTCGTAAAACGAACTACCGGCATCCAATTTATCTAATAAGTTGTACCCTGGTGGTGCAGGTACAGGTAGCACGAAAATGACAAAAATTCCATGCAGCAGTTGATGTATTGAGGAAAAATAAGTATTGTGGCATTAATATAACTTGGACTTTGTTCTCTCTAATACTAACTCAATATATTATAACAAATTATTGATTTACCTGTCTTAAACAAATTTATTTCCAACAATATTTCACTAATCAAAAACTAATTTATTTACAACACTTAGCCACTAATGCTTAATTTATTTCCACCATTTGAATTTCTTGTTTAGTCGCTCGATTCACTTTCTGAACTGCCCTCTTGGGTCGGGAAGTCGGGCTTATATCGGTAACGGTCCTTTCTATAAATATGTAGTCGGTTCGGTTCTAGAGTTTTACCGGCGATTCCCGACTGCATTCTTTCGCGGTGACATCATGTGTTTGTTTCATGATTCAGCCGGCGTACAGATCAGGGGCAGCTTCAGATTCGTTACAATATGAAAAAAAAAACCAATGTAATATTCTCCATGTAGGATTTTAGATAACAAGATTTCCCCTATTAGCTGGACAGTATGTCAAAATAAATTGAAAATATAAATAAATATAAATGTTGATTTGATCATATCAAGTTTATTAGATAAATTTGTCTGTATTTAACTGATTTTTTTTCAGGTGTCCAAAACATACATAGTGATTATGGAGAAACATTTTCGGGAAAGTAACAGGGAAGAGTGGACAAGTGTATGGGTTTCTCCTGTAACTGGAGTGCTGAAAAGCTGTGCACATTGCACACCGTTGTGTCAGAGAATTATTTCTCATGCTTTTCAGTTATACCCTCCTGTATTGCGAAAAATGTAAGTGAAGTGGTTATAAATTATTAACAGCGCTTTCTTTTTGAAATAAAATATATATATGATGCATCCTCAACAGGAAACTCTTTATCTTGCTGTTTCACTAGACAAGCTAATAGTAGAATTTTTGGAAAATTATTTTTATAGATTTGAAGAAATATAATTTCAAAAAAGGCATGGGAAACCCACTCTGTCAATTTGTTTAATTTGTATTGCTCACTTTCTCATTTACAGATACCCTCACAATTACATTGGTAATACCCAGGAATCGGGAGTTTTACTGAAATGTCTGGAGTTTGCTCGGCTCAATGGTATGGAATTAACAATTGAAAGTAGAGAGGAAGTACCTTTATATTGGAGGGGCTTAATCGACAAGGATAAAATGCAAGCGTTCATGACACATCAAGATGATGGGGTAGGTATCTGGTGTAAGAATAAGCAGTGTGTTTTATTATGTAAATTCACACTCCAGACAAATTGGAAATGTTTTAAATTTGTAACACCTACAGCAAACAAATTCATTAGTACTAATATTCCATACCCCAAAATCATAGATGTTATCAACGGCAGAATTTCTTCCCATTCACTAAAAGAAAATCTCCGTTGGTGAGCACTATTCAAGTTTCGTATGAGTTATTGAGAGTTTCAAAAGATCAGTTTAAAAACCGATAAGTTTATTTACAAAATGAAATGCCACACCTTATTTCAAAATAGCCATTTCTTAAGAAAGAAGCTTTTCTTTTTACATCGCCAACTTATTTTAAAAACTTCCTAAATCCTAATATAGATTACCTCGCCACTTGATGAGTAGAATTTGGAACCTCTGATGTAAAATGAATCTATTGAAAACACTTTTCCCACACTCAGAAAAAAAAATACTGTCTCTTGACATGCGCTAACTATGTAAACATTAGCAGAATATGATTGAGACTACTCACTACCAGTAGTCTCGATTGTTGAGATACTGTATTTTTGTTCCGGTGAGAGAAAATAATTTTCAATAGATTATCTCACCAAATTGATCATGATGTACCATAAGGATTAGGTTACCATAAGGATTAGGTGGTGGCCGGGTTTTATATTTCATTGTTGGCACTACTGTTTTTGTGCTGGTTCTTTTAACTCCATCATTTTTTATGATTGCCCTATGCAGAATTTTTGCAATTCAATTTAAGAATAATCATATTCAATGAGGATTATATTTTGATTAAAAGTTCTAATCAAAGAAATGACTCAAATATGCCAAATATGGTAATTATTTTCAGTAATGACAATGATAGTTCTGACAAGAATCATGATTGCCAACAATGAAATATTAAACTCGGCCACCAATTAAGCCATATCGAATATGGCCATTTATAACTATCGTTCCCTCTAGAAGCCTTTTTTTCCTTACTTTGACTTCTGATATATTACAGACTATATATTATTTTAGGATCTGAATAGTTCTCAATATCTTGAATATGACTGTGTTGTGTTCAAATATTGGTACATCTTATGGCTCTTTTAGCATTACTGAATGATGTTTCTGAATTTTCAGGTTAGAGTTTCGGCTCTTGCAGCGATTGTAGTCAGTCAAAAAAGCACCGAGATTTTTTTAGACTGGGAATTAGCTTATTTAACGAGTTACATCTCTTACAATATAACCTCACAAATACCTTCAGTTCGTAAACAAATATTAACATACTACAAAAAAGCCTTGGCAAGGTTCAATGCTGGCTTCAACGTAATTGTGAGAAATATCTCTTATCTGAAAAAAAAGCTAGAACTTCCCGAAGATATACGACGTGAAACAATAAGTATATTTGCGGTATACCAGGAGCTCTATTCGTCATACAAATCATTCATAAAAAAATTCACAAAGCTACTAATTTCATTTTTGACAATCGATTCCAATTATCCCAGGAGAGCTCTTAGCATGGAATTGTTGATTTTGATTCACAGTTTTCTTCCTCTTGATGAGTGGCTCCTTTGTTGGACAGAAGAAGATGTTAAGAATTGCCACAGTATTTTATTTGATGGCTATGAATCAAATAAAAAAATGGCTGTGATTCTACTGAAGGACTTACCACCAAAAGATATGGGATTCACGGCAAGTTCATTCTTTTTAACATTCATATTTCATGGTAGATTTTCGGGAAATTGGTAGATTACTTGTACTTAACTTCTTTGTTTCCAGGATGTGGATTTTACTTTCAAGTATATGCAACGATGTCTTTCCATTGCACTTGGAATAAAACCTAACACGACCCTATCAGCACCTTATTTACTTGAAGTTTGTGCCTATTCACCATTTTTTTATGAAATTGTTCAATACGGCGATTCTCGTAGCAAAAAACGAACATTGCACAACCCTATTCTGGATACAGTGGTCATTCTTGTTGAAAAACTTATAGGGCAGATCAATATACTTATGGATAATTGTACTCCAAAAGTAGCAAACTATGGGTTACTAATGTGTATAAGATATCTTCTTCAAAGAAGAGACATGAGGTGAGGAAACATTAATTTTTTGTAAAATTTATTAGATTAATTCACAAACATTTTCAATTAAAAATTATATTCCAGTAAAGACAACGAGGCTTGCTCTGGTTTATTCGAACACATAACGACAATTTGCCTTAACCTCAAGAACCATGTCATGCCGATAGTATGCAACCACACCCCAGAGGGATACTTACCTGAAACTGGTGATATGATTTATATAGATGATACATCAAAATCACAGTTGCTGGTGGTATATGCCTGGCGAACTATCAAAGAAATGACCCTATTGCTGGCAGAAATTGTGAGACAGACTATAAAACTAGAAAAAACGTTGGAGATGTTGGGAATGAGTTTAATCATTAAAGTGGGACAGTTCTTTCTGGATATATTTCTAGAAACAAAACACAGAGGTGTTTATGAACAGGCATATATTAGTTTTTCTGTGATATGTGATTCATTCTGGACGTAAGTATTCACATGAAAATCAAAATAATGATGAAACAAATACAGTTGAGTAGTATGATAAGATTGCACTGCCATTATGAAAGGTGCAAAAGCAATACTAATTACACACTGCAAGTTCCTAAGGCTTTTATGAAGCAGAATTGGTAATTTTTTTATGACTACATTTACAGCTTTGTGTTGTTGAACATGCTTGTTTGTTTCTGTTCAATTTTGACTTTTATTTATCTTGAAAATAAGTTTTTCCAATCAGTTCATTCCAGACCCACTAACTTTTAGTCTAGTACACCATATTTTAATTTTTGTGTATAATCGAGAAGACCTTTCAAAATTGCTATTATCATAATCTTTTGGTGCTTATGAGCCATGTGAGTACAAATTATATTAACTTTTCAAGATTAAACACCTTCCTGGTAAAGGACTTCCTGATTTACAGTCGTTGCAATGATACACCTAGTGACTTAAAGGTATAAATGGCATAAATCAGTTTAAAAATGATATAAATATTTTATTTTTTATATTGTGTAATTGACCATACAATTTTTTGATTTCGTTACGAACTATTCCTGATCATATACTTTTTAAATTTCAATTAATTCTTAGTTATCATTGCCAATTTTTTTATTAATGTAAGCGAAGTTTTTTGCTTACATTTTGCTTGTCCAACATATTTCATATTTTTAGATTTGTTGAATATTTTTACACGTTCAGTGCCAAGGAGTTGCAGAATTCTACAAATTTTGCAACAAAATATCCCTAAGTTAACAAACTTGTAAACTAAGGCAGTTTTGTCAAGTTTTCTGAGAAATATTCACGTGAAAATTGGTTTTATTTTTAGGTCTTCCAATCCTAAATTCAATTGTCTTCCTAAACTATGGCTCCAAGATGCCTTACGTTTATGCACGGGAGAAAAACAATCTTCTAAGTTATGTGTAACAAGGAGAAGTGCGGGACTACCATTTTTAATCCTGGTAAATACAAGATAACTTATTTTTTATGTAATTCCATTTATAAATTTTAGGCGATATTAGGTTCAGAACCAACTTTCAGTAAACCTCGATTCAATCATGCAATAACTGTTCTTTTGGAAAAGTGCAAAAACATCAACCATGGTAATAATGAATATAGAGTGCATTGCCTTAATGTATTGAGAGCGATGTTTCGGCACAGTCGACTTGGTGAAATGGTATCTCCTTTTATAGCTCAAGGTGTCATCATCGCAATATTAGGGTTCAATAGTGAAACTTGGGGGGTAAGTATTCCAAATTGAATTTATAATTGGAAATGGAGATCAAGTTTGAATCAAAGTAGTATGAATAAGAAAATTATCGAACATTTTTCAAATGAAAATTAAGCGGATTCCAACCTGAAAAGAGTTCGTGTTTTTCTAGAAAAAGGTATAGAATTTGTTTGATACATAGAATTGGACCCTCTGACTTAAAATGAATCAAATTAAAATACTTTTTCCACACGCTACAGTTAGATTACTTTATCTCAATGTGTGTTTATGTAAATGTCAACAGCATTGAAAGTTGACTAGAATTATATATTTCAATAAAAGTGTAAACAGCCTTAAAATACAGAAGAAATTAATAATTGTAAACGGAAATAATTACAAAGTACTCTGTTTCAACTAAATGTATTACGGCATTAGAAACTGACTAATGAATAAGGGGCAAATTCTGCTTTTTTTATATAATTTGGTAAGATAGCTGATCTTCGCCCTGAAATTGCTGAAAATTGACTTTTAAATGTGAGTATATCAAATGTTACATCTCAAATTCCGTTTAAGGGAAAATAAAGAGATGTTGTCACTTTGTGCAAAGGAGGGTGCTGCAAGCGGCTTCATTGGACCAGAACCTGTCATTGGCATCGCTTTGGGCTTTGCCAAACAAGCACTTAACACCTGGATGGAAAGAAGAGTTATGGACTTCTGGCAGAATCTTCCAGGATTGGCTCACTCCAAGGCGGTTATTCACCCTTCGAAGCTTGATTCCAAACAGTTGTTGGAATACAGTAGGGATGAACTACGATGTCTAACAGGCCTTCTTACAGGTCACTGTCATTTGAATCATCACATGCAGAGACTTGGACTGTCGGAAGACAGTGTGTGTCGCCTCTGTCTGGAAATAGATGAAACTGCAGAGCATATACTTTGTGCCTGCCCCGCTGGGGACCGAATCAGGTTCTTTGAGTTCGGCAGATCCGTACTCTCACCATCTGACCTGAAAGACCACTCACCATACAAACTAAACGGTTTCGTTAAGAAGCTGGGTTAATTTGTCCGAGGGTGAATAGGTGTGAGCCACAATAAACCCTTATGGGTTGCGGTGGAGGGTTGAATAGACCCACTCACTTTAGACCTACCTACCTACCTACCTACAAAGTAGGTAGGTAGGCAAAGTAATCTGGGTATTAAATTTTTTTTTCTTATAGTTTGAAGTCTAATAGATAGATATATAGTTTATTTCTTCATTTTGAAATATTTACATGGAAAAGAAATGTTAGTAAGAGGTAATATAAAATATGAATGTGTAGTATATCCGACTTTCTTGAACACACTAATATTTGTTTTGATATTTACCCAAAATAGCATAGAATTGTTTAAGGATTTTTCTCCATTATCAAGATTACTCAGATTACAAGATTGTAAAAAGTCTTATTAAACCTCATAGGATAAGATTTCAGTATGACACTATGTTTTATCGAACTTGTATAAATTAAATATAATGCCCAAATTAAATTAAATATCTGTGTTTTTGATAATTCCAATTTTTCATGAAATTGCTCCCTTTCGGTAAAGGACTCTGTAATTTCAAAAGTAATTATATGCACATGTAATCCTCATAGATGGATAAAATCATTCTTAGTATCTAATTAGAATTATCTCATTCCGTTTTCAAAATATTTTATAATCCCACATCTCAACTTCAACATCCCTTATCTAAAAAACTAGTCATACGATTAAGTTGGGTATCAGTTAGGTATCAAGACGAATTGTTTGAAATTGAGATAAAAAAAAAGATCCATTATTGATTTTTGCAGAATGTTCTTTAGTGATCTATAAACATTAGACATATCTTCATTGTATACACATTCACTTATTTGGTTAAAAATAATGTAAAGTATTATAGTTTTACCTCTCAAGTCGAATGTTGGTAGATCAACTGTCAATACATTATGCTGAAATATTATACAAAGGAGTTTTTTGGTACTTGGGAGCCGTCTGACTTGTCCATTTTCTCCAAATCTTTGTAAAACCTGAAAAGCTCAGAAAATACGTAAATAAATTAATGACTTTGCGATATCTTCATAGATCAGAAATTCTGCAACCCTTCTCTATGCTGCACTGATAACCAGAATGTTTGGCGTACAAAGAACCCAAGATTCCGAAGACGTTTGCATGAAGAATAGATTGACTGTGAGAGTATTCTTTATGAGATATCCAGAATTGTTCAAGTTTCTTATGAGTACCTTGGCGAGAGAGAGTATAAAAAGTGACAGCCTTCTTTTGCATCCAGTTTTAATGATATTATGTAGATTATATCCGGGACATTTTGAAGAATATGATATGCAGGTAATGAAGGATGTCCATCAATAGTGAATTCATGATAACTTTTCATTATTTTTCAGCTAGATCGATATCTTCCCCACTTAACAGTGTGTCTGTCAAATCCTGTATATAGAACAAGAGAACTAGCTGCAAGAGCATCTATTCTCTTGATAAGAAATGATCAAATGGAGGAACATCTAGATCATACATTCGAAAGGTTGAAGGAGCCTGATATTAAGGATAATGAATGTCATGGACTCTTACTACAGGTATATATTCAAATATTTTCATAATAATACAGCATGATATGGTTGATAATAAAAATTACAGTTAACATTTCTTCACTTGGTTGCCAATATTTCTTGTTGTACAGTAGATGTTGGGAATTCCACTGTCAAAAAGGACATGCAGATGTGAAATCTAAAAATGGAAAATCAATATAAAAGATTGAATAAATTATTTGATATCTTCATAAAATAACATTTTTAATTGGCCCATAATGAATTTTATATTCATTTGGCAACAAATAATGAAAATAGTAATATTCATAATAACAGTACAATACAACAAATACAACAGAGTTATTATCCATAAGTGAATCACATTGTTCAGCACGATGCAATTAATTATATTCATACCTAACCTAACCTAAACTTCAGTTTACCCCTCAGTACAATTTAGAACTCTCTGATCTACTTAGTATATGCACTATTATGTTTCTGAAATGCATACTTGAAATTGGGTGAAAACACTTTATAAAAACCTTTATAAAGTAGTTTTTAGTAGACTTTGATATATAAGTGGCCGCGAACTCGCCTCTAGAAGGGACCAGTATTGGGTTGACTATTCTTCCTGGTCATCTTGGGAGTTCACACTCATTTACGCAAGGCACGCACCGGTGTTTCTTCGTCGCAAGTAGTAGCATGTTGGGTCTGCTAGGGTTAGCGACCTCATAGCTGACTGGTGACACTTTTCTTCATAGGTAATAGGGTTCATCTCTTTTTGGATAAAATATAAAGTAGTTTTTAGTAGACTTTAATATATAAATGAGTGAGTGAGCATATAGACATTCAATCTTGATAAAATATTTAATGTGAGATCAGAACGTTGAAAACATGTAAATATAAAACAAAGTGTTATCGTTAATAAATTGTCTTTCATATTGCTCGTTGACCTTCCTCGCCTCAGGCAGGTAGACTCTAGACGACAAGGGAAAAGGTCGGTCGAGGCTGGCGTCGAGAATATTTATTACTCCCCATATTTTTGAGAACAGATTTTATAGAGAAATGAGGAGACCACACCATGAGACTGGAGATTTATTTGACAATTTGGGTTGAAAGGGAATACTAGAATATTCAATGGTTCATTGGCGTTCAGTCTGTGGACATGTGAAAAGCGAAATGATATGCTCTATAATTCACAAGTTTTGGGTGGATAGTTTAATGCAAACCCCAAACGGGATAGAATGAAAAAGTCAGGTATATATAGAATAGAGTGTGGCGAATGCTCTGCAGTATATACAGGCCAAACCGGTAGACATTTTGAAATAAGACTGCTTGAACACGTCTGTTTGGACAACAAATCTGCAATGTACGAACATCTTCAAGAAGATAACCTCAAAATCCTACATATATGTAATAAAGGGAGAAAAATGAATCTATTGGAGGCCATGGAAATTAACAAATCAATTAGAAACCAGAAATATATACCCCTAAACGAGGAACTTGATTTATGTAAGTCTCCTCTCTTGAATTTATGAGTTTAACAACTCCTAGAATTTTCAGGATGGTATTTTAAGTTGGCATCCTGTCTCTCAAATACCTGACCTTGCAGCATACCTGAAAATTCTATAAAATCGATGTTCCAAATTCAGATTTCAGTTTTATACTTGATAATGGGATCAAACCCGAAACTGGTCGTAAAATAAAATTTTCCAGTGGTATTTAGACAAAAGTGTTTTTATTCATTTCATTTAAGCGGTCTTACCTTTTAACTTACCATTCCTATCATATGACATATCATAGAGGTGGTCACACAAGTCACTCATCCAATCTTAGAGCAGGGATCACATCAACCTTAACATATCTTCAAAAATGAATCAAGACACCAAAATCGAATCATTTTAACAAATAATGAAATGAAAGTACAATAATCAACAATACTTTTAGGTGTTCCTATCAATGAGCACCTACGCTGGCATACCCACATTGTAAATTTTAGAAAAAAGTTGAATCAAGTTTGCTACAATATAAGGATTATTAGTAGTTATCTCAACAAAAAGTCATTAAGAATAATGTATGCAGCAAATTTCGAGTCATCGGCAAAGTTTGGTATAATATTCTGGGGGTTTTGTAATACCGCATCTCAACTATATTGACAATTCAAAAAAGTGTAAGAAGAACTATTTTCAAACTTAGGTACTGTCAGTCTTTTAGGCGTATTTTCAAACCTTTCTTTCTTGAAAGTTAAACTATGGAATCTTATCCTATTTTCCCCGCTATACCGGCCATTTTGTTCATCTAAACGTTACTTTGTCAAAAATGTGGAGCAACTGTGATGATTTCTAGGGAACAGAAACTAGGCCCTTCTGTTTTGTTTTTTTTTAACTCATGTATATTTTACCATCATATAGGCTGCCAACAAACTGGGGAAATTCGGAGATTGAAGAAGTCATTATTGCAACAAACAATTAGTGACCTGATAAAACAAATATTATTCTTATGAACGGAATGTGTTTCAATTGCATAAAAGATGTTTGTAGGATAAACTGAATGGAAGAGAGTGATTTTCGTGTAAATCAATGTTTATATGAAAGTGATTGTTTCGAAAGCACTGTCATTTGGTGTAATTCAATGTTCTCATGTGAAAGTAGTTGTTTCGAAAAGGTTTTTTCTTCCAGTTTGTATCTGAAAAAAGCTCTGTGTATGTTCTACATATCTTTTCAGTTTCTTTAGCTTTCTTTCTTTCTTTGGGAGTTTTCCAAATTTTCTCAATATTGTATAAACTGGAGGACTTCCGTTGATAAACAAATAAATAAACTAGTAGGGGGATGAATACACAGTAGAATCTATAGTGAAATCAAGTAGAATCTATAGTGAAACCAAATGTTGACGATAAGGAGATGATCCATACAGTCATCAAAATCCAGTATATCTGAATAGTAATAATATAGTTTGTCTCTGACCAAATCAGAACAAATCAATTTGGTGGACGATATTTAAGTTCTCTTCAAACAAACCCTCCCCATTATAATTGAAAAATCTCATCGTCCAAATTTCTCAAAAATTAATTAAATAATGTACAGTTAGTCAAAGCAACATATCTGGAAAATATGAGTGGTTGCATGATTGAATTCGACAATGATTCATGAAAACATCAGAGAGAACATCCAAAATTTGAAAGGAAAATTGTTTTATGCAAAGCATACAATCCGTCAAAGATTAGGTTGCTGGGGTTCACACTAAACCTGTTCCCTTATTAGATAGATATATAGATAGATGGAATATATTATCTGTCTCTAATTTCGAAACGGATACATTTCTGCGTTTGAATTTCCTTTTAAGTATTCTAAGCCTTTGCTCGAGTTTTTCAATCTTGTTTTCGCTACTGCTTGGACTCGAGGACGATCCTCTGCGATTTTTTCACATAATGAATCCAGAACTGATGAAATTTTCTTAAAAAGTTGTTCCGCATTTTTATTTTGATATGCAACTTTCACATCAAAAAGATAAGCGACATTTAGGTGAGCTGGGTGACTGGTATTGCAGGGAAGAGAGAGTAGTATTCTATAGTTTGCTATTAACTCATGTTGGCAAGAGACGAAAAACTACACTGTGATCAACCGAAGAAAGAAATGAGAATACGAATATTCTCCCTAATAGTATCTAGTTTGTGATATCACTATGAAACACAATTTACTATAATGTGACATGCAAACATGTGTTTCTCTTTACAAACCAGATTATTCTTGAAGATTTTAAAAATAATTTTGCTGTCAATTAGAGCTGGTAATTTGATATTTGCATATAGACTAATGAAGGCTATCAAGTGGTGACAGTAATACGACCAAATCAATAGTTGCATCTACAAGAATAGTCACACAAATATAGATTTTGATCGTTCTCTGTGGTTTAATATTCTCGATTCACGCCTTCTCTTCTATGAAACACATGATTTTTTTTTCGCAGGTATATCATATTTTGAAATCCAGTAATATCGGTGAAATACATTTAACAAGATATCTTGCCAATAGTGTTCACTTACTGCAGTATGTTGGCAAAAAATTTAGCCACATGACTGTTTCCCTCTACATGGAAGTCGTGATGTTATTCTTGATGAAGTAAGTAACATTTCTTAACCATAAATTTTTCCTTTATATTTACTACTGTTTATTTTATCAAAAACATTTCGTGAATGTTCTTATTAAGATGATTTTATAATATAGAGTACCTTTTATCTACTTGGATAATTGTAAATTGTTGAAAGGTGTCATTAAAGTTTTTTTGTACACTATAGATTTAGAATATTTCAGTATGTCAACAAGTAGTTTCCATTTCAATATAATCAATATATTATACAAGATCTTGTTCGGATTGCAAATTTTAGAATTTTTTCAAGAATTTAATTTCAATTAGTTAATTAATAGTAGTAACAGCACCAAAGACCTTTTCGAAAAATCCACCACTACAGCAATTTTTATGAGAAAATATCATGCATTGAAGTAAGTGCCCTACTGGGATATTTCGAGATCTATCTAGAACATCAGACACTGTCAAATATGATATTTTGAAAAAACCTAAATTACCAGAAATAACTTATAATTCTCTCTACGTTAGGACCAAAAACACTTTTTATTTCTAGTACTATCTTTCATTTCATCCAAAGATGACCAATTTTGGCAACAAAATTGCTTATTTTGTATTTTTATGACATTAACTATAACTATTTTGTTTTTGATGATGGATTGATAACATCTGATAATATATGATGGAATTGGCCTATACTTGATGTAATGCTATATTGTGAGATTTTCACTGGACGGTTTACAAAACCGCAACATGATTATCCGGACATTGGCATAAATAATTCCTCAACACCTCCCTATCGAAATAAAGTAGCAGCTCTTAATAGTATGTTTCACAGACTATTGAATATTCCCCTATCGAAAAGTAAATTTTCAGAAAGAATTTAATTCTATCAAATAAATCGCTGTCAACAACCTTTACACGGTGGAGATTGTCAACTTATTCTTTCCAAAAACCCGCGGAAACACGCCATTCAACAGGTCTATCCCACTTCAATAAACAATAATAAGCATCATAGGACATTGACATATTTTGGTGCTCCCAACAATAATATCGCTCATTTTTTGAAAAAGACAGACTTGGATGTGGCTTTCCAGATAATAATTTGAGCAAATTTATTAAAGACGAACCTTCGGTGTAGGATATATCAGGAGTATATGAGTTGACTTGTGGTTCTTGCGCAAAACTTTAAATTGCTCGAAGATATTTTTTTTTCAAAGAATAAAAGAACATACGAGTAGTTTCTTGAATGTGAAGACCAATTCCACATTTGCAAATCATCTTTTGACAGAGCAGCATGAGTTCAACCAAGGCTATGAAGTATTACATTTCGTAGAGAGAGATTTGAATAGGTTTTGAGAATTCTGTAAATTCATTGAATGACCAAATAGAATTGAATTCTTTTCTTCTTCTGATTCTATTTTCTAATGTGGAAATCGGTAGTTACAATGACATGATAATTTAGTGAGTTGGTAACATTTTCTTTCATGATGTTAAAAAATGTTCAAATAGTTTTTACCTAAACGCAGGTATAATTATTAGTCATTTCATAAGGAGAAGGTCACATTTAAATTGTTATTATATAAAGCATAAATTAAGTTAAATTTAGTCATAAGAAACCACGTGAGGAAGGCATTGACATGTGTTGCTGTTTCGTAAACTGTCCAGTGAAAATATCACATTAAAGTTTTACTTGAATAAAACATCTGAGAAAGTTATAAATAATTTGATCGAAATGCCAATCAGCTTTAAATGATATCGTGGGGTCAATACTACAACTAGGTAACTACAATTCAGCTGTTTCGAGAAAAACGCAAATTAAAGTTTTAGTAAGGTTTTGGAAGACTGTGGAGACTAAACTAAAAGTTATCTTACTACCATTTCTGGATTATATTTTATTAGAAGTATTTAAGTTTTGAAAACTCTAAATAACTCCTGTAAAATGTCTACAACAGATATCTAGTTGTAGTATGGTGTGGGCCTCACCTAATGGAATTTATATGTGCACTTATCCAGATTTCGCCAAATTTGTAGTTACCTAGTTGTAGTTCTCACCCCACGATATGTAACCATCATAACTGGAAGGACCATTATCAGAGTCTTACATCCAATAAACAGTAACACTAACAATTTTTTTACAAAATTCGGCAGTATTGTTCTTGGATGATCAGTTTAAAACCTTAGACATGTTTTGGGTGAAAAAGAACTAAAAACACTTAATATATGTTGTGAGTCATCTTTTAACTCAAGTGATTTGATTGTGGAAGAATATGCTTAAAAGTGGGGTAGGTTTGAAATAAATTGGCTACTGTAAGGAGCACATCAAGATGTTTAGTTTACTCACTTTACTTGTTCTCAGGGTAAACAACTTTTCAATAGAGCTTAAAGTTTAAGTTAATTGGAAGACTACAAAAAAGCTCTGACTCAATACAATAAACAGAGAAAGTTATCATCTATAAATGATTCAATTTTTTCCTGTTGTTTCAGATATAGAAGTTATGATGATCTGGAGATGCTTAAAACCATTGTACAAATATTATCAAGGCAAATAACATCGAACCAAGTAGCATTAACTGCAAAGAGCAAATATCCCCAAAGAAGACTGGAGCTACTTTTATACATCATTGTAAATAAATTTGAAGAAACTGACCTTACATATCCAACTGTCACAAATCAGTTGATTTGTCAATTATATGGACATAACTTTGAAATGAAACGGTTTTGTCTTCAATTATTAATATATTTGAATCAAATTCAACATGACTTCAAACATGCATTATATGAAACTGAAGAGTTCCAGATGCCTCAAGAAATAGTGACTTTAGTGAATAGTTTTGAAAAACCACTTGTGACGAAAATGTTAACAAGCATGCATCAGTATTTGAAGGGCTTTCTGACTGAGGAGGTAAAATATCCGCATTACATAAAAAGTGAAGATCGAGTTCTACTTTTTTTATTGGTTAATTATTATCCGTGCGTCATCAAATATTTAAATTTAAGCAAACAAGAGACTCTCAATAGTTTAATAACATTTTGTAACTGTGATAATGAAGAGCTTATTAGTGCTGTGGTTAGTTGTATAAGCACTTTTTTATTGCAACTGGACTATAGTGTACTGAGGTATGATCAACTATTAAAAGTGTTAGTTGAATCAGCATCTCCCGCTGCCAGTGATTTTAGAAGACTAGCTGTGTGTGATTTCTTGTGGAAAAATTATATTTTATATTGTAATGAAGATCCAATTCTAGTGGGATTTTCGAGATTTTTTGAATATAACTATACATCATCGAAAAAATATGAAAAAAATAAATTAGCTTCTTCGAACCTTTTTCTAACCTGTAAAGAAAGCGTGTTCGAAATATATATAGGGAATTTTTTTTTTCATTTGTAAACGTTCGAATTCACCCCTATGTGTGGGGTCAATTTGAACAGGGCTCTAATGTACATGAATATTCGAATTTTAGTTCTTGAAAGGGTTAATTCGAACAATTTCAATTAGGAAAACGGCACTTAGCCAAATATGAGCCCAACTGTCCCAATAAAATAAATTTCTCTAATGATCAGAATGTAAAAATAAAAACAAAATTTATTCAAAATAATCAAAAATATAAATAGGTACACATGAAAATTTATTCAATAATATAATATTTCGGTAAACACTTGAATAATCACCTGTTCCTTCTGAGATCCATTGGTGGTTTCAGCTTCATTATAACGTCCTTTGTATTCACCAGAGACTCATCTCTAACATCCAGATAGTGAAAATAATTAATTTTTTCAGTTATTATGTCTCAGAAAATCTATCAAAATGAGATCAGGCTGGTTATTGAAAATTTCCGTAATCTTGCCAAGATAATATTCATCCATATTTTTGGGGCAGCTAAACTTAACCAGGACAAAATCATCTGACTTCAAATTCTGAATAGGGCTTTCTAAATTTTCTTTCGATGATGCATCAGTCGGGGCAACATTTTTGTTGTCTTTCTCTCTCTCACATTGAAAAATAGAATCATGTGGGTGATCTACCTCATCTTCAGAAGAAAATTTTTCAGCTGTATTTTTTAACAGGGCGTTATACCTTTGCCTGGTGCAACATCAATTTTTTGCCTCTTTTCACTGCTTGTTTATTTTCTAGAGCTCTTGATTGTTGTATGAAGTTGACGAATGTCAATGACCATCACTGATCAATATCAACCTGCCTTTTCTGTTGCGCTATTTGTTCTTCAGTAGGTTTAGGTATTTTCTTCAGAACACTATCCCGATTGCAAGGAACTATTCCACAGGTTCTGAATCCTGATATTACATTGTTTGCAGCATTAACTCCAGCCTCATCAAAAAGTCTCTTCAGCAACTTTGGAAACTCTGATTTCGGCAGCACCCCTTTATTTTTTTGTTTCCACTCCGTCAAAATTGTCCGCCAAATTTTTTTGAACGGAGCAAAAAAGGCAATATCTAATGGTTGGAGTAAATGTGTTGCGTTGGGTGGTAAAAGGATGAACTCAATATTATTCTGCTTGCACAATTATATCACTCGAATAGCAAGATTAGTCCTGTTGTAGACAGTATTGTCAGGGCCATTTTCTGTCCAAGTGGGATATAAGTGGGATGCCTTGTAGACGACATATGGTGCCAAAACTTTTCCTGAAGTAGTGACGGCTAACATTATTGATGTACTTGATTTACTTGAGTCCAATATGCGGTTGACATATTTTGTTCCTTTCTTACAAACCACTTTTGCTCTACCTGGATCGTCTGTAGGATTGGTCTTATCATAATTCACAATGTTTGATGGAGGGACATTTTCGATGGTTCGTGATAGGTTGTCAAAATAGTCATCAAAAACGAATGGGCTCAGTTAGGCCCGGCAACGCTTTATATTTTGATAGATACGTTCAGTCAATGAACGATGTCTCTTCAAAAAATTGTAAAACCAATCGAGACCAGGCACATTATCCTTGAAAGTTTTTATTGTGTTTCCCTTACTTTTCAGGAGCTGTTTGACCAAAACTCGGATATCTGCTCTGGTGAGAGGGAACCCCCATTCTGCCGCCTTCTGTATTCCCCGTGAAAGGCTCAGTTCTTTTTCCTCATTCAGAGCTGTTTGTCCTCCGGGAGCTGCTGGGTGGATTCCCTTAATTTTATTGCACAGTGTAGCAATTGGTATATTATACACCTTTGCAGCCCTTCTATATGTAATTTTTTTGTCTTTCACGGCAGTCATTGCCCTTTCCAAAGAAACAGAAGAATAATTTCTATACTGCACGCCGCCAAGCCTTTTTTTGCATTTTCGTACCATGTTCGAATTGACCCCACTGTAAGTGAAACATTTCCTTTAATAATTTCTGAAAAATCCACTTTTCGTAATATCGTGATGAAATTGATAACAGTTCTCGACAACATATAAATGATCATGTAAACCAATTTTAAAGTTGGTACGAAGTGACAAATCAAAATTACTATAACTTGTTTGCGGCGTATCGAGAAATGTATAAATGAGCCGTCGGGATTCACATATCAACATATGTTATCATTAAATAAACACCTGAACTTCACAAAAGTATCCACTCGACTTTTTCCTCTCGGTTCACAAAAAACTAGTGGGTAATACTTGAATATTTCGCTCCAAAGGGGGAAAATTGTAAAAAACAGCCAAGTGCTCGAATTCACCGGACACGTTCGAAGTCATCCCAAATTACGGTAATGTATTCAGAAAGTGTGCTTATTTATTCAAAAAATTGGTTCAGAGGTCACTGGATAGGACGAAGGGATGCAATTGAGTGACCTCAATCACCCGATTTTAGTCCTTCAAACACAAAAAGGAGTGACTCCTTCTGACTAATTGGAAGAACTGTAAAGACGAACCATTAATGCATGTCACAAAGTGACATAAAAGTTCCAAAAATTATTGACAAAAGTTTTGAGAGAACCTGCAGCATTCACTCGAATAATATCGTAGGTTTTCAAGTAAATTGAATCTAATTTCGCACAATTTGAAAAACAGTTCTATTCCTTCTTGATGAGTGAACCGATGTTTAAAAGCCAAGCGGTAAAATCATTGCAGAATCCTCAAAGCTTAAAGTTTTGAGGATTTTGCAATAATTTTCATATCAAAGGAAATTTACTGCTTGAGAAAGGTTTTTGGTGAACCTGTTATGAAAATCTTACAGTATATTAGCTATTACGAATTTTGGGTATACAAACTGAAAAATAAAAGTGATTTCCATATAATTCAATATTCATGATTGAAAGTACAGTAGAATCTCACGAATCCGGCACTATTAAAAACCAGAGGATGTTGGATTATTGGAATGTTCGGATTACTGGGTTGTAGAGAAAAAAACCATAATAAATAAAATAGTGTCTTTTGTTTCCGTTTACTTGACATTTTTAACCACATACTATTTTCACTTTTGAACAACAGGTAAATACGTACGCACGTGCACATGATAAGTTTTGAGGTTAGACTTTTAGACGACGGCGCGGCGACAGAGCGCATAGGCATTGTGGGGCGAGGGAGGCGCGGCCGGAGGGTGCCGGATTATTGGACATATCGGTGTGTTGGAATGCCTGATTAGTGAGATCTACTGTAGTTGTTTTGGATGGATTTTTTCGGTTTGTATTTGAAAGAAACATCGTTGCATGATCTACACATCTTTGTGAAGAGTTTTTACTGATATGTTTAGTTGTTCTTCATTCAGGAATCATCTATACATCTATGTTAAGTGTTTTTAATGATAACTTCTATTTTCTTCCATTCATTTAAAATTTCTCAGAATGTATGTTCTGATGGGGAAGTAGAATGCAAAGATTCAGACATAGGCATACTTTATTTGACTACGTTCATGTAAGTTTACATTTGTAGCAAGTCTTAATACAAAAAATGTATTTAAATAGATATTAAGTAAGTGAGTTTATTTCATCACATTAACTACAAAATGTACAATAGTGACAAGTCAAACTGACAAACAAGAATAACAATAATTGAACAATAGTTGTCGTTATACACGCTGATTACATCTAAAATAGTTATTTTACAACAATAGGTAATGTTTAGTCTGTTCAGGCTATTTTTTGTAACTTCTAGAGTCAATCAATTATTCAGATATTTTTATCACAGGCCTTATTAACAACTGTATCAAGCGATTTATCATGTATAACAGACATTTTATAATGAGTCTGCAGGGCATTAAATAAAAAGTAGTTAAAGTAAAAAAAGTAGTAAAAGCCTTCTAAATATAAAATCCAATTCCCATAGGGCAGCTACACATTTTAGAATATTAAAAATACAGCTATGAAATCATGTTTCTGTGGTATTCTATAGGAAAAATCTAGGAATATAGTGAACTTCATCTTTGATAATAAAACTTGTGATGTTCCAATAAATATTATTATAATGAACATTTTGAAATTGAAAAACTTCAGTGAATTTAATGATCTAACCGTAGAATAACATTATTTCTGAGTTGGTGATTAAGGAAAATAGAAAGAAGGTTCTATTATTTCATATATAATTTATCGTAACTTTTACTTTTTCACAATTTTTAGTTTGTTCCAGAATAAACAAACTGATATGTACAGAGTGAGCCAAATTGGACAGTTTCAAAGGGCAACCCCTGTTTTCAAACTAGATAGATGAAAACTGATGGTTGTGTCTGTGGGTCAAATTTTATGACAAAGTTAATGGTGAAAACCACATATCGATATCTATCATTGTTTCTAAGTTGAAGCATGTTTTTCGAAAATTTGCATTTTCAAAAAGTTGCTGTAACTTTTTTCGGTCAAAAAGTTCTTGTTTCTATGAAAACATTACCAAAGCAGTTTTTTAAGTAGAATTCAATGGTGTGAAAAACTAATTTTTTTCAAATGAGATATCAATAGTTATTGATGGAAAACTTTTTTTTAATGAGACTCCCTGTATATTCCTACATATTTCAACATAGCTTAAAATTTCCTTTCCAAAAATGTAGCACACTTGATGCTTTGCTAGAGTCATCTGCAAAACATCAATTTCTGAATATTCCGGTAATGATCTATGGCTCCATATGCCAAACAACCAGGCTGCCCTTGGGGCACCAAGGATCCCAAAATTTACATCGAAACTGATCTGGGAATGCCGTGAAGATCTGAGAAAACTGGCGGACAGGAATGGATTGACTCTATATCGACTGCCACGACGGATCATACCTCCATAAATAGGTCCTGAACCAGCTGTGGAGGTCTCAAAATCTTCGGTACAGAACCAGATTGGGAAGTGGGTCTATAAAAAATATAGAGAACAGGGAAAATATACCTAGGAACATACATGGAAAAATCTTTATATAAAAAGACTGTTTAAAGGGATGGAAAGAACTGCTTTGAAAATGCAGGAATCGGCTCAGAACAATTACAGGACTACTCACTGGATATTGGTCCACTGAGATGACACCTGATCTGCAGATAATGCAACAAAAAACAGAAACAGCTTGTCATGTTTTAATGAGAATGTGAGGCTCGGTTCATAGGAGGCAAACAGTCTATGGACAATCCACATTATTTCCAAAAGAATATGACAAACATTCAACAAGGGAAATGCACAAACTAGTATAGAAAACAAGATTGTTGGAATAGGCATCATGAAAGAGATTGGGCAAAAACTTAATAAGTCCATCTTGCATTTCTTCCATCCACACAGTACACTGGAACCTCATGCAGACAGCTCACAACACTCCTCCCAATTTTTTTCAACTAGATATCTCTGCATCAAATAAAGTTTGATTGCTTGTTACTTTTTAGTTTATTATATTTATTCCTAGTCATGTTAAATATTTTATTCATTCTTTTCAATTTGGATTGTCAATCAGTGAAATAATCTACCTTACAACTGGGGCATCTTTTTTATGAAATGTTTTTTAGGATTAGTTATTCATTCTGACACATTTATTTTTTCCATAGGTGATGAGCTACAAATGGTTTTCAATATTGTTATGGTTTTATTAGAAGATGATGAGTTGCTGGTTCGAAATTCAATGAGTAATTTTGCATCAATCCTAAAAATCAAAATTGCACTCAGTTGTAGTACACAAACAACAGTGTAAGTATAATACAAACATGACGATAATATATCTTCTGGATGTGAATTTTTAGTTACAGTCAGCGATTGCCAATTGTTCCAGAAAAAGCAAGAGAAGATTTACTCACCTTAGCAACAATAATACTCCAGAAGGAAAGAGCGATTTGTTTCTTATTTTCATGGGCCTGTAGGCATTTTCCAGACTCTTCAAATAATGCTTCTGAGGTAAATATAATGCTATAAACTTCAAATGACAGTAACTTGGTTATGTAGAAATGTATTTCATGATTTTGTGTTTATAACGTAGCTTCCTCGTAGTTATAAACGACCTTAACAACCTGAACATCTTTAAAAAATGTTCAAAATATTGAAATAAATCTGAATTAGGTATTTATTCTCTATATCTTTATATAAAAAAATCACTTGCCTGGTAACTAAATGCTTCACAGTAAACGAAACAGGCAATGCTCTCTTGATCACACAGACAGGTTTGACTGGCTATCTGCGGTGCTACCAACACCACACCATTAGCGACCATGGAAATCCTTCTAGACCCACCTCCTCATCTTTCCGAAGATAGGCTAGAAGGACACATTGCTGAATGCATAAAACAGGCTTATGAGAAGCATAGCAGATCAGAGGTTGACACTAAAAATCACAGCATTCTGGAAATGAGCTCCAACTTCATGCCTCCAACAGTCAACTATAACCTGCCTCACTCAGTTCTGATCCTGAGTAGAGAGGTATGAATCTTCCGGGAAGAGGCAGTACTAGGTAGGTAGATACGTCCAGTCTGCTTGACGTTCTACTGCAACCCGTGGCGGTTTATTGTGGCTAACACCTATTCAAACTCAACAAAATAAACCCAGTCTCTCTCCTATAGAAGACTATTTTATTTGGTGGTAAAAGTGGGATTCTGCTGCCAAATGTTGAAAACCTGATATGCTTCACAGCAGAGCAGACAGGCTGTGCTACTAGGGCCTGAAATACCTCGTAAAAAATAATCCACTCCAAAGTTGTCGGACCAGGGTACATTTTCCTCAATCTAGTAAGGACCTGATTGGCAATCAGTCAGATGTATACAGTCGCACACCCAGGATATCTGGTTCAGGTGCATTGCCTGGGTTCTATCTTAGGCCCTTATCATTCATAATGTTTATGAATGATCTATGTTGAACCATAAATGTTTCAATATTTATTTGCTGATGGTTTAGCTTCACAGTAAGTTTCTATCTATTTCAAATTGTCAACATTGGCTATCTGGTATTGGTGCTTGGAAACAAAGTGTATTCGTATACTGTGTTAGGAAGGTAAGACCTCGTTAATCCTTAGATCGCACAAGTTTCGACTTCTGAGGGTTGTCGTTCGTAGGGGTGCGACAGCTGGTTAACGGAAAAACAGAAACAGATTCAAAAATGCAACATTATAAGAAAATAGTAAAAAAATTAACATCTTATACAGTAGACAGTAAGTTTTCTTTTTCAATACATATTGACAAAACCAAGCATTAGACTAATAGAATGTTGATTTAATGATGTAAATCATATTTTGTGTAATTAATCAAATTGATGTGTGATGTTGCCATACTTCAATTATATATTCACACTTCAATTTTTCTAATAGTACAGGAATTAGATGTAAGCATTTTCTGTAATTGAGTACGTTTTGTTGAAAATTAAATGTTTTTTTTATATCAGCAAGGCTAGAGACCTATGCGACTATATTTCAGGTGGAAATCTATGCAATTAATTCATGTATGAAGAGATTGGTGGAAACCAACTCATACAAATCAGTACAAATATGCTCGAATACCTAAGCAGCTCTGAAACCACTTGGCACCCATTGGACAACATCCAGGTTGGTAGTGGATTGCCTAAAAAGACACCTCAATAGAAAGATTTATCAAATTGTCTCTGGTCAGGATTTAATTGTTTGGGGTCTGCATTACTGAAAGGTAATGAACCTTCTGACTCCCTCACAAGGGAAGGCGCTGCCAGCAATTTCATTGAACCAGAACCTGTCATTGCCATCGCTTCATGCTTTGCCAAACAAGCACAATACTTAGACTGTAAAAAGAGTTTTAGACTTGAGCAAAAACTCACAAGCAGTAACCTGGTGAATTCCAAAGCATTCATAAGACCTTCTAAGTATGTCATCAAGTAATTTTCAAATCACAGCAGAGAAGACATATCAATCAATATACAGTAAGAAACAAAGTCGTTCCCCTCTATCTGGTCCTATGTATGCTTAGATCTTTAAAACTACCCAACGGATTTTGATGCGGGTTTTTTAAATGGTGATTCAAGAGGAAGGTTTATATGTTTATAACATGCATTAGAGGTTTCTAATGTGATGTCGTAAATAAACAGATTTTTTTGAGCTTACATTGCAAACGTTGGCTGAACCCTACGAGATAGATCAAAATAATGTACTACAGTATTGTACACCTTAAAAAGGTCTACAAAAAATTCGCGATATGTGGGATAACCCACAATAACCATTTTTTTTATCCTTGGCTTATTTACGAATCAATTTTAATCAATACAACATTAATCCTTATCCAATCAAGTACCTTAAATACATTGTGAATTTCCTAGAAGGCTCTGTAGTTTGTAGATAAGTGTAGTTTCTTTTATAATGCTAAATGTGTTCACATTGACATTTATTACTAGTATAACTGACTTATGGTTCACAGATTGGTAGTAATTAATACTGTGAATTCAGGTATGGTCAACTATCTTTACTGATCTGTTCAAGGTTATGGATTATATATTGTTAAAATATTAACAAAATAACAAACATGAGTTTGAAGTTTTGCTACTTATATGTCTGCTCACCTCTTTTATTTCTTAGAATTTCATTCAGCCTTTTATATTATTTTAAAATTCAATCACATATTTATTTTTTCTTGCAGAAGTTTTATTTTGAAAAATAGTTACAGGCTACAGTTGAACATGTCAGAAAATTTATCACTTCTAAAGTTTGTAGTATTACCTCAACTAATTATTAATTTATCACATTGGCTCGTACCCACAACTATTTACACCGTAAGTTGAATTCTGGTCGTAAGCAGATCCTGAAGAGTACTTCAAGTCTTGGGATGATGAAGTAGAGGCTTTCTTAGCTGCATATAGATTAGCCTCTTCTCGTGACTTTCCAATATCCTTTTTATAACGAATTCTTTTATTTGCAAACCAGCTGCCTATCTGTAACAATAATTCAAATATAAAATTAAATTTCAAATACTGAGCTCATTACTTCAAATACCTATAAATTTTTCTTCACTGTGTAGAAAGTTATTCAAAGTTATGTTTGAATATTTTCATTTTAACCTGACATTTCAGTAAATTGTAATGTAATGTTCAATTCATTATTGGTTGGAAATCATATGCTCAGTTTTCAAAAAGTAATATTAATATGAAAATAATATTGACCTCGATCAATTATGAATTTGAAATTTTTATGTGATATAACTGAGTCAACTATTTAAGGTTATATGATTTGAGGTTACAATGAGTTAGTTTTCTTGCACAGTGAAATTGATGAAATTAACACATCTATACTGAGTAATTGATTGGCATTTCCGATTTATGATTTGAGTTATTCTAATTTTCAGGTTTTCGAAAGAGGCGAACTGAATCTCCATGCAGAAAATGTCCCCTTCATGGAATATTGCGGGAATTTGCTTCACAAATTGCTGTGGACTCTCGAAGATGGCTTGAGATATGAAGATAGATCAATATTTATAGAAGAGCATGCATTATTGGTAACAACAATTCTACTGGACTCTCTTTCAAAATATCCATCTCCTATGATGCTGGTTAAAACTAAAGTGTCTGTGATATGTGCTTTAAAGTCAACAGTTAAGTTTTTAGAACGATATCAAATTAATAATAATTTTATGAATGGGTTTAGAATATATTTGAATGATACAATTCTAGGTTATTTAACAAAACATGTAGAGCATGTCGATTTGTATAATGTTAAATGGATCATTAGATATATTTATGAGCCAGTTTTAAAGTATAAATGATTATGGAATTTTATTTTGTGTAATTGAGATTGACCAAACTTAAATAATTAAGTATTATCAATTTATTTCATTGTCAACCCTATTTTTGTGACTGTTGACTTCTTAATTATATGTTTTACAGTATCTCATACTTTTATTTTTTTTGGACTTTTCGCATCGACATATGATTCTTATCCTGTGTAAATGGTCTAGCTGTATAAATTTTGAAAATATAACAGAAAACTTGCAATGACAGAAAGAATAAAATCAACCACCAATAACCCTGTGTGTTGAAAAAGACATGATGGGTATTCGATGAAAATCAAGATGAATATTTCAGAAACTTAACACTGTTGCAGATTTTCATATAAACAGTTTACCAAACTGAAACATGTGTTTCGCTACACAAGAGCTTCTTCAAGCATGTCTAATACCTAATCTCTAAGCATCATTTGTGACAATATTCAATATATTTGAATAACTCCAAAACCAAACAAACCTTCTCAACATACTACCTTGATCATATCACACCTCGTTGATTATTAGTTAAAGAAAATAACACTTTTTGATTGAAAACTTTGTCTGCAGCTCTCACTGCTCAGCAACTACTTGAGACTAGAGCCCAAAAAAATAGCATTCGTGATCCAACACCAAACAGAACTGTTTTGACCTGCTATAGGTCTCATGAGTGGTGCTAGACTGACCAACGAATGCTTTGCTAAAGGCGATGACATCTCCCCTTACGAATACGTCATCTATGCCGTCGGCAGAAAACTCAATTCATGAATATCAATCAAACAAGATTCTATAGCAGACGTTTTTTGTCTCTCTTTGCAAGCTCCAACACCAGACAGTGCTGTTATGATACGCCAAATTTCTCATCTGTGGTACTAGACTGAATAACGAATGCATTGTTGGACCCAGTTGTCTTTAAATGACGTTGAATAACTTTTTTCGAGATCAATTGCCCTAACACCAACCTGATATTTTTGCACTCGACGCGCGTTTCGCCAACAAAGTTAGCATCCTCAGGAGAAGAAAATTGATGCCTAGTCTAGTCTGGTTAGTCCTTATATACTAAAATTTGTTACCTGAGTGCGTCGAGTGCAAAAATATCAGTTTGGTATTAAGGCAATTGATCTCGAAAAAAGTTATTCAACTTTCACACCAAAGGTTCCAATCTCATCGTTATTTAAATGACGTGCCTAAGTTAACCTACCACCGTTTATGAGAGCTATGGGATCGAAACAGCTGTGTGATGTTGGATCACAAATGGTTTCTTTTTGGACTCTAGTTTCAACTAGAGCAGATGATGTCAAAAAGCTTGGCTTTGCAAAAACTGCCTTGTGAAGTCTCTATAAGTAGAAATAGATTTTACATTATGGCACCAGGAGTGTCCTGTCGAGTGAACATAGATTGAAAAATAAGCCTACAGCAGTAGTGATAATGGTGTTTCCGTAAGTGTAGCCGAATATTCCTTGTAAATAATTTGTAAAGTAATTTGCTATATAATGAACAACTTATTTAAATTTTGGTATATTACCAGAAAAACGTGAAAATACCCTTATTCCTCTTTACCAGTCATTTAGAATTTGTTTGAAATGACAATGTACGATTGTTTAATGAATTCCCTGAATAATTGTAAAATAATAACATAATAAGTAAAGGAAATATAAATTCTCTCATTGAAAATGTGATATGTTTGATGATAAAAATCAATTATATGATCAAATATAAGAAATCAGTGCATATTTGAGAAAATTCCAAACCCTGATTCAGTGCAGATTTTTTGAGATGAATAAAGCAATGTGACAAATTCCTTCACAAAAGAAACATTATCCTGACAATCAACCTATAGCAAATTTATATGATTAGTATAATAAATTAGTCGAAAAAGGTATTCGAACATCCAAAAGTTTTTATGTAAATCAATAAACGAAAGTTTATATAATAAGACGAATCATGGAAATGATGAAATTGAATATATATCATTAGATGGAAATAAAATAGGAAATACAAGATGTTTGTATATCTCACGTTTCTCAAGTCTACTAAACCAGAAGAAAAAATTAGTATGTTAGATTCGAGAAAAGTTCCAGGATTCGATAGAATTACCATAAAAATTGTCAAAAAAGTTGAATCAGAATTAAGACCACTGATAAGTAAATCAATGAATCTTTTCTGTATCAACAGGTTTAGTAATGCGAAAATTGACAAAGTGAAACCATTATTTAAAGCAGGTAGAAAAAAAAAATAACGAAATACAGACTAATTCTAATTTGTTTGAATATTTTAAAAAGTCAAAATTATAATGAAGAGAAATGAAACTTTCTATGTTTTTTACTACTTTCATTTGTAACTAACGTTACTGCAGTTTCGTTCTATACGGACATTTTCAAACTTATACAATAAACTCACCATTGTATATTTATTGTATAAATTTGAAAATGTCCGTATAAGACGAAACTGCAGTAACATTAGTTACGAATAAAAGTGGTAAAAAACAGAAAGTTTCATTTCTCTCTTCTTCATTATGATTTCCTACCACGTAGTAACGGCTACAATCATCAATTTATCAAAATTATTATACTATGGGGCAATACAGATTTTAAAAAAAATAGTGGCACATAGTTCGCAGTATTAGATGCCATAACCCAATTTCAGCTAGATTTAGAATTGATAAAAAAATATGGAGTTCTTTCATTAACCCTAAAGAAAGCATTTGATACTGTGGACCATAAAATTCTGCTGAAAATAATGCATAATAAAGGTATTCGAGGTTTAATTTATAATTTATAATCGTTACATAAACTCAAATCATGTAACTTCACAAAATTATCAAAATGCCATTCAAATTGATTACGTAAAAGAGAAGAGAGATTCCAAAACTTCAATAGATTGGGAGAGTGACCACAGTAATTCACAAGAATACGTAAAGTATAAATATCCTAATAATACATTTACAAACAGCCAGAAGGAATTTCTAAAAACACTTGATATTTGTGACCAAGAAACAAATGTGGTTTGTCTTCAACTATGAATGTTCCCATTAGACTACGGGTTAGTTGGCGCCATTGAAGAGGAAAAACATTGTATCGTACTCAAGCAGATTCAATTACTTGCAGATAAACTGAGCGATGTTACATGCCAAAAATGTGAAAGGATTGAGACCTAGACGTGTAATTCCCAATCCAGGCAACTTCTCACTTTGTTAACAAATTATTGCAAGAGGAGAATGATGTAACACATTGACATTTGGTTTTCAAGAGCAACTCTGTAGTATATGTCTTGGGTTTTCTATGCACAGGCACCGCTCTGAGAGCGCCTTAACGATTTTCCTGTTGTGCTTGTGTTCTTAAAAAAAGTAGATACTTTTATATAGCACGGACTATATAAAAATATATCGAGTAGTCAGTAAATTTTGAGAACTTTAATAAAAAAAAAACAAATCAAATCTGACTGGTATCAAGTTGTAAACTAGAGCCCAAACACAAGGTATTCATAATTCAAATCAAATCAGTTTATTCACTCAAAGGACCCATTAGGGTATAGAACATGTCAGGATATAATGTCTTAGTACATGTATATAAATATAGTAAAGACTATGTACTTAACTACAAAACGACCAAAAAGAACAGCAATATAAAATATTTGATTAAAAAGTTACATTAAAAATTCATCAATGTTATAAAATACATTTTCTTGGAGAAAACGTTTTATAGAGTTTCGAAATTTGAAGTGTGTAGGCTGAATGCCTAGGAAGAGTGTTTTTTATTTTATGAATGTAGCAGGCAACTTCCATAATATAAAGACAGGCCAGAGGAAGAATATTCAATTTGGCAAACAACGGTTTGCAGGAATTCCTGGGTGATACATTTTTTATAGTTCTTACTGCTTTTTTCTGAATAAGAAATAGATGCTGTACAGCCGGAGAGTTTCCCCATAGTAAAAAGTAGAATAGACTGTATTTCAGCAAAGTAGAAATTTCTCAAACTGCCGATATCAACCACATTCCGCATACATCGAATTCGATATATTTTTGTATTTAATAACAAAATGAACAAAATTACAATTTTCTTCAACTGGCTATCCACTCCTTCCGCCCGTTTTATTTATAGTTGCTGTAATATGCTCATTCCAGCTGAGATCGTCCTCCAGGGTTATTCCCAAGAACTTTATTGTTGATTTTCTGATGATATTTATTATTCTTTGTCTGGTGTGAAAGATTAGACTCAGTTTTTTCTATATTGAAATGTAGTTGATTAGCTGAAAACCATATTCCTAGTTTACAAAGAAGATGGTTACAAGCTTGTTCATTCATTCCACTGCATTCTTCCTGGGAGACAAGAAAAGATGAGTCATCAGCATACAGCGTGATATTATACTCAGGTAAAAATTCCACTATGTCAGCAATGAATGAAGAAAATCAGATAGTGCTGTTTCGACAAGCCATAGGTCTCGTCACGGGTGTTAGGTTAGGTCAAAAGTGAGTGGCTCATACCTATTCACACTCGACCAAATAAACTCCGCCTCTTAACGAAGCTGATTAGTTTATATAGCTAGTGATCTTTCAGGTCAGATGGTAAGAGTGCGGCTCTGCCATTGGTGTTAAGCTGAACCACAAATGCACTGCTGAACTTTGTTTATCTTTGATATTCAAGAATTGACTTTTCTGTCGATCCCATAGATTGTGTCTTTATACGGGGAGATGTCATCGCCCTCATTTATTCTGCCAGGTATTACTAATAAAAGTGAAACCAAGGGGATGGTGGAAAGTTCGATTAGAATACCTAATCTACTCTTGATGAAGTTATCTAAGTTATAAAGTCTATACTAACAGACCTGGCAATATCCGTGACCAAAAAGACCGAATCCAGTAGAGGATGCAGAATATAAAAACCTTTGTGCTATAGAATGTCAGAGACCAACTTTCTGGCAGTCAATTCAACACTTTGAACATTTATTCTCACTTTTCATTGATTGTTTTTGATAGTGTATACAGTTGTTGCATGAAGAGGTATTTCATTTAATAATTTATATTATTGTTTCTTGTGTCTGTGGTGAATCTTTATTAATTACCATGTTATTGTTATAATTCTAGTACATCAAATCAATAGAACTTAAACTAAGTGACAAATGATCTCTTAATCTATGTATCCAATAACCATTTGAGAGAAAAATCAATCTTTTAGACAGTTGACAACACAACTCCTAGTGTCACAAAATGAATAGATATAAAGTTCCTATATTTGCTTGAATTATGATTGGAAAAACACAAAACAATTATAGCATATTCTAAAAACTTATAGTTTACATTCAGTATGGTATACAAGTATATTAATAGTATTATTGTGGACTGATCATCATTAAACCAATTAAGGGGACAAATCTTGACCGTGCATAGGATCATATCCACAACTATTTGCATCATATGATCCCTGATCATATGCAGAGGCCACAGAGTATCCCATGGAATCTTGAGCTAGTGCGGGAGACATCATAGGTGTTGGTCTGCCGCTATAAGGTGATGAACCAGCTGCTTTTTTAGCTGCATAGAGGTTAGCTTCTTCTTGTGATTTGCCAATATTCTTCTTATAACGAATTCTTTTGTTTCCAAACCAGTTACATATCTGTAACAATAATTTAAGTAAATAAAAGTATTCATCAATAGTGGCAGATCAAGAGAAAAATTTATTGTTCATACAGGGTCTTTCAGCAATTTGAAGTGTTTCTTATGAATGTTGCAAGCAGTCTTACAACAATTATCTAAAAGTGAATGATGGAAACATACTTCAATATTATTTGTTCCACAATGGCTCTGTCAACTCCAAAAATTAACACTAGTTACAAAAGCAAACGAACAACAACAACAAATTTTTATTCATTATCCCAAGTTTTAGAAAATATAATATTGATAGATGTTGTACAATTGTTTCACATCACAGTATAGATTCAAATACATTTTTTGTAATATATATGACAGGAACAATATTTTTACTTTGAGTAGTAATTTTTTTGAAATCACAATAATCTATGTATAAAGTGATAATTTAAACTGTCAAAGTAGTTCCTTCCCCTCAATTTTGAAAAATATTCTTTTAAAAAGAGAAAAATTCATATCTATAGGTATTCTTACTTAAGATGGCTTACAAAACTTCAAATTATTATGTACCTTTATTCACAACACTCTGTGTGAAAAACTCTGTATGAAACATATCGAAATAAATCCTACAGCGGCAGATCAAAACTAAAAAAAATGATAACTAATAAAATTATAGTAGATACATAATGTGATGAAGAAATTATAGAAGGAACACAAGATATACACCCTGAAAATTAAAGTGAAAGCTAACATAAAGATACAACAGGTTCTTCACAGAGTTTTACATTCTCGACTCTCCAACTTGATAGTTTCCATTTGCAAACACTATATATTTAAAATTCAAAACAAGCCCTGCTCTCAAATACCAGATCTGCAACACTCTTCTCGACGCGCGTTTCACCAACCAAGTTGACGTCTTAAGGATTTGAAATCTACTGAGCTGCCAACTTGGTTGGTGAAACGTGCATTGAGAAGAGTGTTGCAGTTCTGGTGTTTCAGAGAAGTGCTTGTTTTGGATTTATTGTATTCTAAAGTTTCCAGTTGTACCTTTTAGTCCATTTGTTCAACTGAATAAACAAATGGTTCGTCCTTCAAACTGCCTATTTCATTTAATTCTAAGAGAGTCTAAAAAGTATTTGAAGTTAAGATAGTGAATAAAAATATTTAGCTATAGTATCTTTTCATCGCTCAGTTTATGTAATACATTAATTGTTTATTACATTCTGAATGCAAAAGTATCATTAGCAAATTTGCGGGATATAACATCCAAAATAATGTTACCGTAGAGCTGACACTAAAGGAGGACAAGATTTTCCATTTTTTCAAAATGGCATTAAAGCCGAAGTCGAACAATGAAAAACTCAAGACTCGGTTCTACCAGAACTTTAGAAACGCAGATGCTGACCGCGGAAACATACCCAAACACACATGCATCCACCAAAAAAAAAACAGCTAAGAATTGCACAGGTACATGACGTTTTGGAGGCCCTGTATTGTTCTTGACTACTATATGACTTCTGAAAGACAATTGATTCATGTTTTTGTTCCATAGATATTATAATATATAACATATTCATTTATTAATTATTGATTGAAGTAAATTATGTTACCAGAGGTTCTCCAAGGATCTCTCCTCACACTCCTTCAAAATTCTGTACGGCGCCGGCGCCTAGATTCTTTCAAAACTAGAGTATGCATTTCCTGTGTGGAGCTCCCATACTACCAAGTTTATATTGACATGATCGAAACAACACAACTAAGTTTTTTCATAGACCTGCTTACAAAATGAACTTCGTATAGAGAAGTATAATTGACTACACCGATTTATGTTCCAAATTGAAAATCTCATCACTATCAGATAGAAGAAAACGACTTGTTTTTTTGTAAAACTCTTAAAAGGATCAAGGAACTCGCCAGACATCCTCTACAATATTGAGTGGAATATGGTAATTACGTTCACTAGAATTGTACTTAGTGCAAATAGTATCGATTTCCATTATTTTCACATTAATTATCCTACCTTCAAACGATTTTATTATCAGTGTCTTGTAAAATGTATGTCTGTTTCAGGCAAGATATTTATTTCAACGGTTATACACCATTGTGTTCTCGCCAATGTATTAAACGTAATCATGCTTAGTAATAGAGTAGAAATGATAATTCCATCAACTAATTCATAAAGAAAATACATTTCTAAAACCTGCCTTCACTTTTTCAAAGTTAACAAATTTACTTTGTTTAAAATATCTGGTAGTTTATACAGGTAGCAAAGGTGTCCATACGAAATGAATATGTTCTTAGAAACCTTTTCTGAATCTGTTCAATACTGTCAATATGTGTTTGATAGTAAGAAGACCAAACAATATTCAAGTGAACGTCTGACTAAATGACAATACAATGATTCAAGTGTAGCAGGGGATATTTGTCTACTATTCCTGACAATAAAGCCTAAATTCCTCGATGCAGTTTTCACAATTTTGTTTATATGACTTCTGAAAGTTAGTTTACTATCAAAAATAATACCCAAATCTTTAATTTCATTAACTCTCTTCAGTCTAGACTGTCTAGAGTCATTTATTGAATATATATTTAAAATACAGTTATAACCCATTAAAAAACTAAAAGAGAAACAAGTTCCAAGTTATTTAAAGTAGACCAGGCATTAAAGTTTTCCAAATCAGACCTAAGCAAGAAAATATCCATATGATGCTGAATTTTCTTATACATTTTTAGATCATCTGCATATAACAAAGGCAGAATATGATAAATATTCATCAAGTATAATAAGTTAATAAGTATCGGTCCACAATGGGAGCCTTGAGGAACGCCAGAAAATACTGGCATTGCTTCAGATATAAAAGTTTTATTACATATGCACTATTGACGACCAACTAAGAAACTTTTGAGCCAAACCGAGGTTAATACCCATAGAACTTAGTTTCTCAACTAATAAGATATGGCTTACCCTGTCAAACGCCTTTGAAAAATCTGTATATATATATTTATACTATCAACTTGAGTCTTTTTTGCAAAGGCATTCAACAAGAAGTTTTGATATGTCCCCAGGTTACTGACGGTCGATCTACCTGAGCAAAATCCATGTTGTTCAGGAATGATAATATTTGAAGTTTGTAGTGACAAATAGGCAGACACCACTTTAACAAACATTTTAGGAATTGTTGATTCGATACAAATGCCTCTATAGTTCGAAATATCCTCCCGATTATCAGATTTAAAAACGTATATAACTGTTCTTCCAGTATGTGGGAAGGCAGCCTATCTGCAGTGACAGATTGAATATGTGTGTTAATGGCTTTGTTAGTGACCAAACACATTTTTCAGTAGAAAAGATGGAACACCATCAGGTAATTTAGTGATATCATTGTGGATATTATAGCAGCTGAAAGAAGGCATCAGGAAATGATTACATTGTTTTACAGTTTCAGAGTAGTTTTGTATCGGTGAGTCTGGACGATCAGCACTATACACAGTAGAGAAGAAATCTGCAGAAAGATTCAGTCTCAATTCCATTTGTACTAACTTTGTTCTGAAGAAACATGTGTTTGGGATATTCATTTTTTTTCCAAATTTTATTCACATGATTCCAAAATAGAGATGGATCAATAAGATGGTTCTCTGCCTTGTGCATACGAAATTTAAAACATTATGAAGTGAGTTCCTTACACAATGAACGTAAGTTAGAAAAAATAGTATAATCATGTGGACTATGATTTGTTTTATACATTTTATGAGTTTTTTTTTTCAAAAACTAAACTCTTCATCTCATTTGAAAACCAGGCAGGAAATGTGGAGCTTTTATATGATATCACAGGAATAAATGACTCGAACCTCGTTTGGAGGACCTCATAAAATATAGAACGGCTAATTCTAAATAAGTACACCGAGTTCTCAAATTGGATGACATTACGTTTATCGCCATTCGAAAAAAGAAGGCCACATGACGGAGGTTATTAGACAATAATAAGTCATTTGAGGCTATAATTCTAATATCCTGACCATGAGAAAAAGATACATATTGGTAATGTTCTTGTCATTTTATGGTTGTATGTCATTATCAATGCTACATTTTTTTTTCAATTTTGAATGAACAAGCACTTTGAAGAATATGATGTGAATGCTACATCATAACAAAGGAAGTTTTTGTATCTATCCACTTTTTGATATACCACATCCAGAAAAATAAACAACTACTTTGAAGATTATTTATTTTCTATTGTAAAATACAAGATACTTATTCTATGTTAAAGTTCACAATATAAATATGATTTTTGAAATCTTAAATAAAAAAAGTACTAGGCATGAGAAAAGTCCATAAAGCTGCCTAACCCCTAGTAGGTAAAATCAGACACAATAGTACGACAATACTTATAATAAACTGGTATACTTTTAAATGGTATACAAGTGTTACTCGTAATTTTATTTCATCAACACCGTTCAAGGAGACAGGTCTTGAGCATGCATTGGGTCATATCCACAACTGCTTGCATCATATGCCGAACCTTGATCGTATGCTGAGCCCATAGAATACCCCATAGAATCTTGAGGAGGTGCAGGAGACATCATGGGTGTTGCTGTACCGCTGTAAGGCGATGCACCAGCTGCTTTTTTAGCCGCATATAGATTTGCTTCCTCTTGGGCCTTGCCAATGTTCTTTTTATATCTAATCCTTTTATTTCCAAACCAATTTGATACCTGTAACAATAATAATCACTTGTTGGCATAAATTCATTTTACAAAAGTGGATACTGATAACTCCGAGCTTCAAATAATAGAATACTTGCATATTTTCTGTTATTAGTTTTTTAAAATGAAGGGGTTACTTGATATCAAAACAAGTTCATTAACTATAGTTGTGACGTCAGAGGTCAGCTGAACTTTGTAGTGTAAAAATGATTTGATTTCAGTAAGGCTAAGAAAAAAATTCAAATTTATTCTGCTGTGACAAGGAAACAATGTTGCTTTGATGATTGAATATAAACAGTTATAACACATGTTCAGTTATATTTTGGCTGAGATATTCAAAGCAGAAATCTATTACATATCTTATAAATGTATACTTAGGTTTGAGGAATGTCCCAGGAAACACCAACCATCGCAGATTTTCCATTATCATATTCAATTCAATTGTTTTGAACTTGATTAATCACAAAAATATTGTTTTCAACTGAAACATAAAATTTTTTAAAGTATAGAGGCTTTGTATTACTTACATCGGAATGTTCTTGTTTTTGTTAATGAACTGCATCGATATTTTGCTTCTTCCTTCACCTAAATGAACATTTTCTGAGAAGCTCTGGAAGCACTAAAACTTTAGACACTTGCTATAACACTATGATGAAAAGTCACGAGAATGGAATCTGACCAGTGACGCCAGCATCTATTTTTCACAACAAATATTTCCGGAAAGTTGAGAAAGTTTTGATACAAGTAACCCATTATAAAACAAGACCTTTCTTGAATAAATATTAAATGCATTAAAAAGAACATCCACCAGGATGGATATAACTTGACAAGGTACATTTCATAAGAACACTATATAATGTATGAGATGAAGTTAGAATATCTGATAATAACAATTCATATACTTTCAGCGTGGAATATACAGCATTATTTTTCAATATTCTGAAAGATTTTACTTGTTGAATGTTTATATTTATTAAAATCAACCTTCATATAATGTATTGCTGAAACAGTTTGGCTTATTGAAGACAAGGCATCGCCCTATATGGTCTTCAAGAATATTTTCCTCAAAATTTTATCAATTATCAATAATGAAAAAATTGATCATATAACATCGTTTAGTTACCTTGGATTCTAAATTGAATAATCAGTTACAGTTCTTTGAGCTTACAGACGATAATAACAGTTTTCCAATAAATTATTCAACCATATTTTGGGAACCGTTTGTCGGTACCATCGCTTTTGGCTATGAATTGAATATTTAAAGTACAAAAACTTCAAAATCGTAGCTTGAGAATTATCTTGACAACTACCTCAAATACTATGTGTTCTTCATGAGTATTGAACTTGCCTAAAGAAGCTATTATTTAGTGAGACACGTGTTGCAGTTTTGTAAACTTTTTATTGAAAATCTCCCAATAAGGTGTTACCTGAATATGTTTCTGGTCTATCAGTTACCAGTTGAAGGTTGCAAAAGGAAATTATTCCCTTTCAATTTGAAATTATTTTCCTTTATTATAAACCCTAAATAAATTATCTACTAACCTACATATATGCATTAATTACTCAATTTGAATTTGTTGAAGTCTACATTGTTTTGATTTAGTATTTCAAGCAGAATACTCTGTAAATTTTAAATTCATTCATAATTCAGTTATTATATCTGGATCACTAGACTATTAGTAACGATTCGTGAATAGTAAATCACAATGGGAAGAGATGCCATTGTAACTTTGACACTATGAATTGAAATATCAAATCTATTACCAGTCAACAAAACATTTCGAAATTGTTTCTCTAGCCCCAAAACTGAACATATTGTTTTGGATAGTTTCCGGGTTTTGCCGTGGTCTTCTTTCGTTATAATCTCCAAACGTTTCGACTGCAACTGCGGCAGTCATCTTCAGTGGCGTGGTGGAAGTACTCTTTTTGACATGTCAACTGAAACTGAAGATCCCATTTCTGCCGTGTCATTTATAGTGCTGATTTTTCGCGCACTTTCTGTAATGGCGACTTCGCGCGTACTCCCTTCGTGATTTGGGTGACTTGGCTTTGTTTTGGCGCTTTTCAATGCTGTGTTTTTGGTAGATATGTTCTCTCTTCCTTTCTATTAAAGTTCTCTTGGTGTTCTAAATACATTCTTGTTGAATAATGATTTGACGTTGCTAGCCTCTCGGTATTTTCAAACAGGATCATGTGTTCCCCGTAGGACAATATATGTTCAGCGACTGTAGACTTACCGGTCTGTCCCAATCAGCAACTCCGCTTGTGCTCGACTAGGCAGGTACCAATGCTTCTTTTCGTCTGACCGATATAGACTTTACCACAGTTACATGGAATCCTGTAAACTTCTGCTGATTTGAGTGGATCTCTGCCGTATTTTGCTGATCTCAGACAGTCCGATATTTTTTTTGTTGGTTTGAAGAAGAGAAACACCAGTGAAGATCAACCCCAAGGCAATGTCTATCTGCCATACATAGAAGGTGTCACCAACCGAATCGGGAAAATTCTAAAGGAGAAAATTAACACCGTATTCAAACCAACGAAGAAAATATTGAAGTAGGTAGGAAGGTAGGTCTAAAGTGAGTGGGTCTATTCGACTCTCCACCACAACCCATAAGGGTTTATTGTGGCTCACACCTATTCACACTCGGCCAAATAAACCCAGCTTCTTAACGAAGCTGATTAGTTTGTATGGTGAGTGGTCTTTCAGGTCAGATGGTGGGAGTACGGATCTGCCGAACTCAAAGAACCTGATTCGGTCCCCAGCGGGGCAGGCACAAAGTATATGCTCTGCAGTATCATCATTTTCCAGACAGAGGCGACACACACTGTCTTCCGACAGTCCAAGTCTCTGCATGTGATGATTCGAATGACAGTGACCTGTAAGAAGGCCTGTTAGACATCGTAGTTCATCCCTACTGTAGTCCAACAACTGTTTGGAATCAAGCTTCGAAGGGTGAATAAACGCCTTGGAGTGAGCCAATCCTGGAAGATTCTGCCAGAAGTCCATAACTCTTCTTGCCATCCAGGTGTTAAGTGTTTGTTTGGCAAAGCCCAAAGCGATGCCAATGACAGGTTCTGGTCCAATGAAGCCTTCCAGGCCAGTATGGCCAGGAATCCAGACGAATTCCTGGATTCCTGGGCCAGTATGGCCAGGAATCCTTGTCAGGATGACAAGGTCATCTGCATAAGCTTGCAGATCAACTTTTTTTCTGTCGAGGACATCAAGCAGACTATCCACCAGGAGCGACCACAGAAGGGGAGATAGTACCCCACCTTGAGGGCAGCCCCTGGTGACCCTGAACCTGATAGCCTCGCCTTGAAGAGTCGTAGTTGCAGTTCTGTTTACTAGCATGGCACAGATCCAGCCAGTTAAAGTCGATTCTATACCCTTTCTAGCCAGAGACAATACTATAGATTTAGGTATTCAAGTAATAACAGCAACCGCAATCTCCTTGTTGTCAAAGGATTGGGAGATTTTCTCAACGAGGTAGAGGTAGTTTAATGCTGAATCTGTCAATTTGCCGGTTTGATAAGTTTACTGGTGGTTATTCAGTGGGGATGCATATAATGCTACCCTCCTGATATGTCCGTCCAGTATCCTCTCTCAAGTCCTTTCAGCAGGAAGGATGTAAGGCTGATTGGTCGTACCGATTTGGGGTGTGGGTCTCTCCGGCCCACTTTGGGTATATATACCCCCCTTGCTTGAAGTATCTGAGATCAGCAAAAGACAGCAGAAATACACTCGAATCGGTGGGAGTTTACAGGACTCCATGTAACTGTGGTAAAGTCTATATCGGTCAGACGAAAAGAAGCATTGGTACCCGCCTAGTCGAGCACAAGCGGAGTTGCCGATTGGAACAGACCGATGAGTCTGCTGTCGCTGAACATGTAGTGTCCGACATGTACTGTCCGATCCTGTTCGAAAATACCGAGAGGCTAGCAACGTCAAATCATTATTCAACAAGAATATATTTAGAAGCCATAGAATTACACAAACACCCAAGAGAACCTCAACAGAAAGGAAGAGAGAAAATATCTACCAAAGATTTGGCGCACAGCATTGTAAGGCGCCAAAACGAAGCCGTGTCACTCAAATCGCGCGGGAAGTACTCGCGAACCCGCCACTATAGAAAGTGTGAGAAAAATCAGCACTATAAATGACACGGCAGAAATGGGTGCTTCGGTTTCACTTGACACGTCAAGAAGAGTACTTCGACCATGCCACTGAAGATGACTGCCGTAGTTGCAGTCGAAACGATTGGAGATTATGACCAAAAAAGACCACAGCAAAACCGGAAACCATCCAAAACAGCCGTGAAAGCCTACATTCCTATATAATAAACATATTACTTCAATATCACCGATAATTTTTATTTCCTGACTTTGACTTCTCATGTTGCCAACAAATAACAAAAACTTTAGTGAATCGATGATACCATTTAGAACAAGGTTATTTTTGTGAAAGAGAAGGTTTTTTTATTCTATAAAAAATTTTTGAAATGGACACAAAGATTCGCAGCATGCGGTAGTGAAAAAAGTTGTCCTCTTACAAATTTTCATTACCAGAAAGTGGCTTCCTAAATTATTTGATTATTTCACAGTTGCAACTTTTGAGTAATTGTATCTCCGAAAGTAGACAGGAGCAGTAAGTTTCAACTTCAGATTCGTCATCATTGGCCAAAAATACATAATTCTATTTGAAAACTTTTCAAAACTTGACATGAGCCGGGATTACCATTTTGTAAAAGTTAAAAATAAAAACAACTTTACCTGACTGACTGTTATGCCACATTTCCTTGCAAGCTCTTCTTTCGCTTCTTCACTGGGATATGGATTAGACAAATGAGAGTAAAAGTATTCATTGAGAATCTCTGAAGCCTGTTTACTGAAATTACGTCTCTTCCTTCTTGCATCCAAAAATCTAGACCTGAGAATCATTACTGCTTCACAAGTAGACTGCTTGAGTTGCATCTGAATAGAACTGAATTTTTTGTGTATGATTTGCACCATTCTTTCGATTTCCTTTGGTGTAATGGGACGAGTACGACTCTGCTCTCTCAGGAGATTCATAACGTGTGTCGTAAATTCATTACATGCTTGTTCGTATTTCTCTAACTCTTGATGATAAATCTGACGAATTTGAGCTAACTTTGCTCTGTAGTCAGAATGTTCAATAGCATTGTCCGGTTGGCCGGCCTGCGCAGCTGCAATAGATAGGGAGGCCAGCATTCAAAAATTGGAAACAGATACAAAGTCGGTTAGAGCAGGAAAAAATTGTTAATTTTAGAGTTGAAAATGGCTAAACAAATGACCATGGTGATGCTTCGGTGGAGTTGTTGCCGAAAAGATTAACTTATAACAGGTGATTCTTTCCTCTGGCCTACATAAAAAATTCAAATTGGTGATGATTTCTTGAAGACGATATTTCGGATTAAAATCATGTCTTTCTACATCAACATCAGTACAAAATGAGCATTCGTTTGTGGTGTTTGGACTCAGTAAACACATCACATATGCTACAATGAAAAAAACTTCTTCAACCACACTGAAACTGCCCACAAATTTATAATTAGTCGATAAAAATCAGAAATAAAAGCTACAAGGTACTTTTGTGAAAAAACATGCACAAAACTTATCGAGTTTACCTTTTCACTCGAGACAAGAATGTAAGACCTGTTTTAAATAGTACTCAGATGTTGGTCAGATGTGGATATGGTCACATGGTGAAAGTCCATATTTTTTAACTTTATATGTAGTCCTTATACCACAGTGTATTGATTCAAACAGATAAATGAAAATAACAACTACTTTTGGGAATCCAAAAATGATTTAAATTTTTTTATATAAAACAATAAAATTTCTCCAAAGTGATAGCACATAGTTGAATACACAAATCTAAATTTGATAAATACTTGTTACATCATGGAATCACAAGGTTATCTACCCCACCTCTCAATTTTTGAATAGAATGAGATATAAAGGTGGGACAAAAAGGTATGATTTTCAGTACTCTTTGGTAAGAAAGATAATACTCTTTGAAAGGGTGCTTCCAACTTTTTTTTTTAATGAAAAGGAATGTCTTGTGATGCCTCTTTTATTAGGTATTAGATAGATATTCTTCATTTGTTTAAGTGTACAATACATAATACCCAAGCGGGTGTAGAACATGTCAATAACATAAAGAGATCACAGTTAAAAGAAGATAATAGAAAACCCTAAAGGGGAAATGTAATAGTTTATGAATTAGGATTACACATTAAAAGGTGTTTTTATCTATGGTACATACCACTTTATGAAATTATCACATCCATATGGAAAATAGTAAATTTATAGACGACTATTTTCAAAACATTCCTCCAGTTTATAGTAAGCCTTTTGTATTAGTGACTATCTAAGATGATGTTTCATTTTATTTATTGTATTTTTTTTTCAGATTATTGGATTAATGATTGAAAAATTTTATAACTGAAAATTCAACATTTCTTTGGACATAAGTGTATTTTTTTGAATCCGTAATTAGATGTTGTTTGAATCTAGTATTGTAGTCATGTTCTAGTGTTTTGAAGAGTTCATTATTTTCCATAACAAATATTACTGCTTCGTATAATATATCATATAGTCCCACCAGGGTAAGTACATTTACCTTTGGAAATATATTTTGCAGTTATCAGTTTGTTTCATATTCAGTATGCTCCCCAAGCATCTTTCTTGGATAACCAAAATTCTGTGGGCATCTGTAGAATTTGTCCAAAAAATAATTCCATATCTAACACGAGATTTAACGTATTCATGATACGCAGGTAATGCAGCCTAAAGGGCTGCTTGCTGTTTACTGACTGAGCCAATAATAATAATAGCCTTTATTACCTAACAGTTAAAAACCATTTACAGGGTTAACTAAGTATGTTAAAAAAAATAATATAAAGCCATAAACTCTCAATACTTCATTTACTTTCGATCTAATGTGGTTGGAAAAAGACAAATTTTGGTCAAAATATACACCAAGATCTTTAATTAAGTTACTTCGTGACAGTGAAATGGTATCTACTCGATAATTGTACTCGATGTATGACATTTTCCCTCTCAAAAAACACTACTTTACATTTGGATGCATGGAGATATAGTTTGTTTACTTCACACCAAGTCTGTATATTTTCTAACTGTCGTTGCAATGTATTACAGTCTTCGCTAGTTTCGACAGGTAAATATATTTTCAAATCATCTGCAAAAAATAACTTATTACAATCGACATAATTACCGAGGTCATTAATAAATAATAAGAACACAAGTGGTCCGAGATTCGACCCCTGAGGTACTCCAGATGAAGTATTGTAATAAAAAGAATCATAGCCTTTATAAGATACAAACTGTTCACGTTGAAGTAAGTAGGATTTAATGAAAAGTAATGCTGAATTATGGAAAGCAAATTGGTGGAGTTTTTGTAGAAGGATCATGTGATCAAGTCGATCAAATGCTTTAGCAAAATCAGTATATATCACATCAACTTGACCACGATTATCTAAGACATCACTAACATTTTGGGTCAATACAATTAAATTTGTTATGGTGGATCTGTTTGACAAAAATCCATGTTGTTGCGGAGATATGATATTACGAACTGAGGAATGTACGCGATTGTAGATGACAATTTCGAGGAGTTTTGCAAAGTTCAATAAGATTGAGATAGGACGATAATTCCGAATATCAGATGGATCTCCAGACTTAAAAATGGGACAAACTTGTGATATCTTCCATAATTTAGGAAAATTATTATTTTTAACTGCAAGATTGAAAAGTGTCACCGATGCAATCTTTTACAAAAAAAGGACGGTATCTTATCAGGACCAGAAGTGAACTTATTTTTTAATTTACGTGCCGCAATCAAGCTCTCCTGTTCGCTGATGTTTTCAAAGTTTATATTATTATAAAAACAATTTGAATTTGATAAGCATGGATGCAAAGTATTTTCATCAACTGTAGAGTGTGAATATGTACTGTGAAAAAAATTTGCAAAACTATTTACAATTTCATCTGGAGAATCAATACCTTAAGTGCATAGCAGTAGCCTGCCACATTTTGTGCTAATTGGCCAACATGTTTTTTTCAATCCAGTCTAGGATCTATTGTGATTCCCAATAATTTTGAATGAGAAGCAGCTGTTATTTCACCTCCATTATGGAGTAGCGCAAAAGTATCATTCCGCTGCGATTTAGAAAACTTAATGAGTTGAGTTTTGTAAATATTCATTGGCATTTCAATTCTCTATTCAATGTTTTTTTCATTTTCAGAAATCAGATTGCTCATTTACAAGTGATTAGCAGTTTTATATTTTTTTAAGAATCTGCAAACAAAGATAAATATCACAATTTAAAATGAAATGTATTCAAAACCCACTCCAGTTCATTCCAATAAAAGTTCAAAACGTTCACCATTCACTCCTTGACAATAATAATGAAGTCTGTATACATTATAAACTGTTCCTGAGGTTATTTCGTTGCAAGCACCAATTTTTCTATCCAAGAGTTCTGACAATGAGCTGAGGTTGTCTATCATACACTTCAAATGCCATATATCTAGTGGACTCCTCTAAGGGACTACGTCTGGTTGTCTACCAGTTTGGGTAATTGACAAATCCAAATGTGTTTTCAATTAATGTTATGCTTCAGCAAGATAAGGCTGGCTAGATGACAATTATCCATTCAATCCCTTAGAATGACCTGCTCGATTACCTGCTACAATGCTTTTAGATTTTTTGTGGGAAATTGTGATATCTAAAGTATATGTTACACAATAACAGTCAATTTCAAAGCTCATGTTTAGAAAAGGAGGTGCTCTTGACGAAATTATCCATGAAACATTCCATAATGTAAGGAATGAATTTTCATACTACCTTCATTATTGCCAGGAAGTGAATGATGAATATTCTGAAAATATTCACTGGAATGAGTTCAAAATAGTTTTTTTGTTATGATGATATTTATTGTTTGTAAGCAGATCCCTCATATGAATATTAAACTGCTAATTACACAGAATCAGCTGATCTGATTTCCAAAAATATAAGTGTTAGATAGAGAATTGAAATACCAATTGAACAAGACCCACTTTCCAATTGAAAAAAGTGTTGGTAGTGCCCTCTCAATGACGAGCGGGTGCTTTCAAAGACCATTATCACTACCGATTACCTCTTCTGTATATATGGAATCCCTTGTATGATGATGTGATTTTGACAGTTTTCATATACAGATAGTTTCAAAAAGTTTGCATCATATGGGAAACTTTTTTATTATCCATTTGTCAGAAAATTTTATTCCTGATAAAAATTGGTGCATTGCGGGAAACTTGGATTTGAATTGTCAAAAATTCTAAATTTCCGAACAGTGTACAGGGGAGAACAAAAAATAGAAATTTTGATCAAGAGTAAACTACCCTGATTTTCGACATTATTAAAAAATTTCATTTCAAAAAGTTGTTTGAAATTGAAAACAATATTCAGATTTGAAATCACACCCACCTACGTAACAAAACAAAAAAAAATCTATTTTTTTATGGTTCTAGCCCCTTAAAGAGTACTAGTATCTCATATACACTCACTCATATTACTATAATAATAGTTCAATGCAAAATTTAGTCCAATTCATTATTCGAACTAGTATATTGATGTTTGTTGAAAATGGTTTAAATTTTTACTAATTATTTGGTGCAAAATTAATATTTCACTCTGTATGTATGTCCATAATAACTATCAGTATGATTTAATGACAAGAAATAATTGACCAAATTAATTAAATATTTTGTAAAGCAAGATGTTTTCTATTTCTATTATGAATAGACTACCTACCACCTTTTTCAGGCCCCGCTACACCTTCTGCAATGAGCATATTATCCAGTCTCATCAGTTGGGGATCTGGAGGTTCTTCTTCTTGCGTATTTCTCAGAGATAATACAGTTTTTTCTTTGATTTCACAAAGCACAGAAAATAATGCTGGCTTCATACGGTGACAGTTTAAAGTGTGTTTTCTAGCTTGTGCTTCATCCAAACTTTGATCAGTAATGTTCATGATTTGTTGAAGAATCTCACCAATATCTTGTTTCCTGGGTTGATCGTTTTCACCACCCGACGAGACATCACCTTGAGGATTCATTCCGTAAGGCTGAGGCATCAGCCCACCACCCATCATTCTTCCTGGATCGTCCATTGTATCAAAAGCACTTTACAATTTCAAAGTTACTACCCAAAAACCTTTCTCACATATACATTCACAGTCTGAAATTTAAAAAACTTTTTCTTTCATAGATGTTTTGACAAATCAAGAACATTTACTGAAAACTATAAACAATTCGAATAATGCTATGGCATAGGAACATAAATATAAATTTTGCTGTAAAGCCTGTGCCACAGAATGACATTCAACATACGAACATCGAACAAACAGCCTCACCTAGTGAGTCGCACCTCACACTAACGATCTCCCATCTCCCATGATATAGATTAAATGATGTCCCCAACCCTTTGAAAAAAAGTACTAGAAGTCGAACGAAAAAAGTACTAGATCGAATGAAAAGTACTGTAGTTGCGGTTTTTCATTAATTTTTAACCTCAATTTAACAGCACTTTTACCAAACACCAGAACTGCAATACTTTTTTCGACGCGAGTTTCACTGACCAGGTTGGCCAACTTGTCACGGCAATAATTTTTCAATACATAGGTAGTATAAAACAAAAAAGCTTTCCGCTGGCTGCCCCTGTGTATGCTTAAATCTTTAAAACTACGCAACGGATTTTGATGCGGGTTTTTTCAATAGATGAAGTGATTCAAAAGAAATGTTTATATGTATATAACATGAATTATACAGTAGTGGAACACTGATAACTTCAGAGGTTTATAATGTCATGTAAATGAAAATTTTTTTTGTTCTTACATTGCAAACGCTGGCTGAACCCTATGAGATAGATCAAAAAATGTACTACAGTATTGTACACTTCGAAAAAGTCTACAAAAAACTTCGCGATGGTAAATGTCTATCTTTTAGGGATAACAAACAAAAACCATTTTTCATCCTCGAGAAATAATGGCTTATTTACGAAGCAATTTTAAGCAATACAGTATTAATCCTTATCCAATATAAAATACCTTAAATACATTGTGCATTTAATATATAATATGCATAATATGCTCATTCCACGAATGTGAAGCATCTCTGGTGAACAGAATACGAATAAGCTCTGACACTTGTCACTGTTACGAAGCAAATTTCCGTTCTTCTGCCAATCAAAAATGGGAAAAACAATTGACGATCCATTGTTATTTCATATATATTATTATTTTACATATAAAGTAATACAAATTATGAAACAACAAAAACAAAAATTAATTGGCGCTCCAGGGCGACTTGATTGATTCCAGTGGCGCATTTGCTGCATGAAAACCCGGAAAAACCTGCAGCACCACATCATCTGTAGATCTTGATCTGCCAATGTCCTCCCTTTTATAGAATAAAATGTAGGATGTCTGCAGAGGCTCCAATAAATTCAAGATATCGCCAGAATATTTGATGACACGACTATTGTGTCTACTTTCCTATCTCTACAAATAACAAATCGTTGATGCTAATTTGGGGTTTGAAATTACACAGGACAAACGTCAATAGGACGCGACAGCAGTATGTCTGCGTTCTATGAAACATCCATAATCGCGCTATCTGAAAGAATGCTTCAATTTTAAATGTGCCACACTATTTTGTGTGTGTTTGGTTGTATAGCTAATGCTTAAAGATATTTTTTTATGTTTAGGTCAGCTATTATCTCTGCAGTCGTGTGCCTGGATATCGCTCAGAGGGCGATAAAAAGGCGGCCAAAGTTCGAAAGCTCACCAAGAATGAAGCATTGCTTGTAAACATAGGGTCCCTTAGCAATGGCGGTCGAGTAATAGCGACGAAATCTGATTTGTGTAAAATTGCTTTAACAAATTCCACGTGTACAGAAGTCGGCAATACAATATCTCTAAGTAGAAGATTTGATAATCATTGGCGTCTCATTAGTTGGGGCCTAATTCGAGGAGGAAAGACCATCGAACCATTGAATAACTAATATTTTCATTTACTATGAAAAAATATCAGATTATAGAAATAAATTCATTACGACTAGCAAATTGTTAAAAATGTTATTCCAATATCCTGTAGGACATGACAGTGGGTTCAGTGTATGTTTTGATCGCAATAAGAGTGGAGCGCTGGGTAACGCAGGACTTTTCTGCTATTCTCTCGGACATGTTAAAAATCAACTGGTAAAAATAGGACCCAGAGGAAAATATGTCTGAAAAGGTAGGTTAAGAATGTTATTATTTGTGGACGAACCTCAAACCAGATTTCGAATTTTTCAACTGTCCTGCTGAAAGATGGTTGGCAAATGTGGAATTGATTTTTCCATTCAAGAAACTACTTGTTCTTTAATTCCCTGGGAAAAAATTGGTGAATAAAAAAGCTTTGGGCGCGAGCCACAATGTGAAAAAATTAATAAATGAAGGTCACTGGAGTAACTGTAATTAGTAATATATACATTTTTGCCTATTATAAGAAAACTGAAAATTGTAAAATTTCTACTTAGCTCTGAAGACATGTTTCAGAAAGGCGTCTTTCTTTTCTCTAAATCCTATATACCTATATTAGATTTAACTTTTGAATAAGAAAAATTCTCTAAATCTTATATACCTATATTAGATTTAACTTTTGAATAAGAAAATGATTTTTTTTGACTGGCCAAAAGTTACATCGAACGAGGGTAAAACACTTCTAAAAACCCAATTGAGTATATATTTTGACGTTTCCATTTGACAGTTTTCTCAAGATTATTATGTTATGTCTACTCTTGAAGATAAAGCAATTTTAATCAGCTTGCAGAGTATGAACCCTCTCAAATTTTATCCTTTCATAATCTTTAAAAATGTTACATTGAAGTTGTCAACGCACAACGAAAGCCAGTATAAAGGAATTTTACCTCATCCCAAATAGCAATATTATCATAAACGCAAATTTCCAGAAAGATGAATTCAAATCAACTTGGAAGTGGTTTCTAATTTCGGGCTCAATACGTATTCAGTAAGGTATTCAAGTTTTTTAATAGATTGAATAAGTCGGTCCAATCATCCACCAGATTACTATGATGGAAAATCAATTTATGACTCAAGATGTTAAAGGAGTATTGAATTTTTGTAGCAAAAACACAAGGTAAAAAATATTTGTTATCAATGATGAAAAGATACTTCCTTTCAACAAAAAAACGCAACATGTGTTTCGCCATACAATGGCTTCTTTGGGCGTGTCTTTACTTTGTTCCATGTCTTGTGGTAGGCTCATTTCGGTTATTATTCATTTGTATCTTGTAGAAAGTTTGCCAAGAGTTGTCCATCTCCGGATGTGAAATTAACATTGAAATCTGCTAAAATTAGTGGCAACGTATGATAGTTTTCTTCTAATTCTTCAGAGCTCGCATGTCTCTTGCCCCTACAGTAATAGACGAAACGTAACTTTTTTTTTCTATGTTCACTAACTTATACCCTTTCAACGTCCGTTCGCCTCTCGCCCGATCACATTCGCAATGCTCTCATCACATATTCAGCAGCTTACTCCCCAAGTCAAGCGCGCGTAGAGAAGTTTTACTTTAAAAATCCTTGTGCAATGTTCCTCAGAGAACAAAAATGATGTTTCAAGGGCATCCTAGCTAAAACCAGCTAGCAAAATTTTGTTTCGATACGGGCAGGGTGACCAGCTGCAGGCAAATCTGGCATCTATTTGTGCAATGTTCTTCAAGGAGAACACTTGCAGTGGTACTTGTAAAAAAGCAATAAGTATTATTCTTTAGTTGAAAATTACCACCTGCATACATGTATTTTCAATGTCGTTATATCTTAAGAGGACCGGCTGGGTTGGACAAGCAAATCAATTCTTTTCAATCGTTAAAAACTTTCCGACACGCTTTTCGACTTTGCACATTATTCATACATGCATTTTATTCAGTTCTGTGCTATGTTTGAAGTTGCAAGTTCCTTTAGCTCCTTGATAACTTATTTTCAAAATTTTAAGCAAACAGACAAGGAGCGAGTTAAATGTGGAACAATTTTAATAAACAATTCAAAGCGTTTCATAATATTCTGTATTACTACAAAACACCCATTTAATTTTCCATGAAATTTGATTTTTTGTCGAGCAATTTATATCTATTATTCACTTGTTGAGCAGTGTATAAAATGTCATCTAACAAATCTACTCCAGGCGATTAATTATGGATGCGCAGTAGTCCAAAATAAGTGAAACTGTGAGGCACAAACATCAAAGGTCCTGATGAGAGTGATACTACTGGTTAGCTTTTACTGTGGTACTGGTTAAAGCTATACTGTATTAGGGTGTTGTAACGAAGACGACTAGGACTGTACTCAATTTTCTTGTCTTTCGTGCTTTTGTGCCTTTGCGATAAGTTCTTTTGCACTTATTATTCGAATTATAAATCACTCGTAATGCGCAATAGAACCACTCAATAGACATCGATAATATAGTAGTTGTTCAGTATGTGAATGTACCTTACTATGATTTTTACTGTAAACCAAGAAAAATGTTTTATTTAATTTCTATATATTAAGAATTCATTTTGAATGGAATTATGGTTCACTAACTTCTATGTTTGAATTTTGGAATAACGTTTTATTCCAATAATATTTACGATAAATCAGTGCCGACTATTCTCAATTGGCTTTGGTATTAGATGTATTTAGTTAATATTATACTAATATCAGATTGGGCCAATCCCGTCAAAAATTATTCGCTTTCCTGCTCGATTAAATAACATCGAGCAGTGCCAACAAAAAATAATGTCAGTAACTCTAACTATGGTCAAATGTATCTAAATGACGCATCGAGCAACGATCATATAATTAAAAGAAGAAGAATATTTCAAATTATCTTGATAATCGATTCGATATTTCCAATTATTATGATATTCGAATTATCAATTATTTTTAATTCAAATTAGTGATGGGCATAGTCGAATTATTTTGATAATCAAATTATTAGTATTCAAATTGTTAGAATAATCGTGTTATCATTCTAATTATAAATCACTTGCAATGCACAGTAGAATCATAGTATAAACACTCAATAAACATCGATAATACAATAGTTGTATAGTAGTTGAATGTAGCTTATTGGATTGAACGTTGATTTTTACTGTAAACTAGGAACAACGTTTTATTTTTATATATCAAGAACTTATTTTGAGTTTGTGAATTAAGGTGGAAGAACAGATGTCAGTTTGTACCTTCCGGTGCCGATTGACGTGGTATTAGCCAGGGGAGTAGTTGTTTTCTGATAGGTGTCAGTCCATTAACCTACTGTGTAGGGTGTTGAGACTGGCCTGAACGAATTGTTCTTTTAGATGATTTGATTTATAGCCAGTCTTCAAGTATGCCCACTGACTATACGTGAAAGATATCAAGAACTTATTTTGAGTTTGTGAATTAAGGTGGAAGAACAGATGTCAGTCTGTACCTTCCAGTGCCGATTGCCATACTGAATCTCGCTCATTTACTTCTTTTTTAGTTCTCATGTATGAATATAACTGTACATTAATAAAAGACCTTTATTATTATTATTATTATTGTTCATCTCATTCAATAAGTTCTAGGTTTGAATTTTGGAATAAAATTAATGCTAATGTGGAATAGTATAGTGCAAACAAAAGCACCTAACATTAGCGGTTGACTTGAAAATGACAAAACAGTTGTGATTCTGGTACAAGCAATCGAGAACAGCTATATTTTTATGTTCAAGTTCTGCGATGAAAATAATGTTAGATAATTCAAATTATGATCGAATGCGCCTGAATAATGAAACAACGATCATATATTTAGAAGAAGAAGAATAATTCGAATTATCTTGACAATCGAATCGATATATCGAATTATTATGATAATCGAATTATCGATTATTTTCAGTTAATTAGAGTTTTAGCCCATTACTAATTCGAATTTCGAATTAGCCCATCACTAGTTTTTAGTTTTTAGCAGAATAATTCCATTGATCTGAAAGGAACACAAAGAAAAGTCTGATAATCTCACACTGAGAATATTAAACTGCAAAAAGCGGACATTTATATACTTATATTAAATATGATGTCAGCGTTTATAGATAATGGGGATGATATTTGTAGATTGTGTTTGATTAAATTTACAAGGGGTTCACCCAAAATAAAATTCTTTAATGGACATTTCCCCAATATTATTATGGAAATAACATCTCTCCAGGTAGATATGTTCTGTGGAATCTGAAGAAGAAGTGAATTTATCTTGTTTTAGATTCATGAAGATGAACACCTACCTAGATTTGTATGCCATAATTGTGTTGATAAAATGAATATTGCCTATCAATTTAAAAGTCAAGTGGAAGAGTCTGATAAGACAGTTCGAAAAATGTATTTGAAACAAAGTATCAAAGTATCAATAAAGGAAGAGAATACTAGCGAGGTAATTCATATCAATATTTCTGGATATGAAATATATTTGTTTTGAGGGCATAATATGGGGCCTGAACATGCAAGTATAATTACTCACGGTAGATTCATGCACCAGTCTGAAGTCAAAATTTCGTGTTCTTAATTTGTGCAATGAAAATTTACAACTATGAACAAAAACATAAATATATGTATATGCTTGCTTATGAATGTTATCGCTGAAAATCAATGATGAACTGTCTACGATTTCTTACTACATGCGATTTACCATATAAGACTGGATTAATGAATTCACCCTAACATGGTTACATAGTGTTTCTGAAAACCATTTCTATGTTCATATATACAGTTATAATCAGTTTTTACATCTAATGGACCACCAACATTTGGCTGTAAAAATCAATAGTCATAATAACTGGTGAAGTTTTCATTGTATGTGAAAATTTTCATAAACCATTTCATCTACTGTTAAATTCGAATTATATTCATACTAAAAGTGCAATTTATTTTATTGTACTTTATATTTAAAGTGAATTAGTCTTGTGCTAAATAAATGGCTATTATCAGTCCCAAGAAACTAATAAGAGTAATTAACGTTTGTTTGAAGGTGATTGACAATGTAATTAAAGTGTCTTGATTTTCGCCATTTCTTTCCAAATCATTGAAAATGCAGTACAGCGAATTCCTTTGCTGAATCTTTTTTTGAAGTTCCACTCTCTTACTTTACTATAGTATGTGATTTCTCTTCAATATTGAAATGTCTTCTTCTCCTTTGAGACATTCCTTTTCCGAAAATTATGACACACCCTAAACTTGATAAGTATGTCATTGTTTATTTTTGCATTTTACTTTTAATAGTCATTGACTATATATTGTGCAAGATGTGTGTACCTTTTGTTATCTACTTAAATTGTTAAAAATACATGTTTCGCTAGTACAATTTGAAGTATTCATACACTGCAGCTGAAAAAGCAAAGTCGCCCCGGAGCGCCAATTAATTTTTGTTATTTCATGATTTGTATTATTCTTCTTTAATGAACAAATAATACAAAAACAACCAAATCAATAAAATTTGGATTTAAAATTTTGTACTGAAATTTAAATTATGATTTTCAAAATTGAAGAAATACAGTAAAACATTCAAAATAACAAAGTTGATTCATGTTTCCATGGAATTAGAAATTTTTACTAAAAATTTAGAAGACAAAAAAATTCTTAACGTAAAAACAATTAGTGTACAAAGTATGGGGCTTTCTAGAATCTACTACTAATAATTGAAGGAGTTAGACATGAGAGTAGTGCAAATATTTCAAAGCATTTATATTCAGAACTATTGTCATTGCCATTGTTTCATTTTCCAGATAAGTGATGATTTTGAAGAATCTCCAAAGATAGAATTTTCTGATTTATCCAATCATGGTAAGAATATTTATGTTTGATCAAGTTTATTTACAAATATATTTTTGAATAGTGTTTGGTTCATTCAGTTCCTTTCTTTTAGAGTTTTTTGAATTTAAATCATTACCACCTGGAGAGAAAGAACCAGTAAAAAACGATTCTAAATCTTCAAACACCAAATTATGTTTAATATGTAATGAAGAACTTTTGGATACCATTTCCATGAAAAATCATTTAAAAACCCATGGAGTTTTTGAAAATCTAGAGTGTAAAGATTGTGGAAAGAAATATAAAAATAGCTATGACTTGAAGGTACGACAGACAGTTGTAAGTTGTATGAAGTTTAAGTTGAATTGTATTTCAGATACATTTAAGGAAACATAATGGATTACGACCGTACTCCTGTGAAACTTGCAAAAAATCTTATTCAAATCCTAGGAGTTACTGGAGGCATAAAAAAGTACATACAGGTTTGTTGAATTTATTTCTCTGAGTTGAGAAAATCTTTTTCAAGAAAGTATTGTGAGAAATGGTCATTATGACTTCCCTTCCAAACTCTCCATTTTTGAGATAGTATTGAAAAACTTGAAGCGCACACATATCAAACATAAAAGAGTGTTCCAATGCCAATTCTTTGAAAAGTCAATTGCTGACCCTAATCGCTGACTGATAATAATTTTTGTGGTCTGTTATCTTCTAATTGAAAATAGTGTTGGAGTGAAATACTTCGATTATTAAATAGTATGTTTTGGTGATTGGTGCATTCAATAGTTGAGTTCTCATTAATTTGTGCACAGAATTGCATTATTGCTTGTCTTCTCTACATCCCTACTCTATGATTTGACCAGACATGCTAATTTTTATTAGGAAAAAAGGCAATCCTAGCCACCATAATGTCTCGAGGGTTACAGTGGGGGTTGAATAGACTCTGCCACCTCCTATGTCAAGGTTTACCTGTGTCCAGAAAAGTATCATAATTACTTATGAAGGATCAAATCTATTGGAAACATTTCTCCTCATCAGAATGAAAATGCTGATATGGGAATGTAGGCTTCCACAGCTGGCGTCAATGGTTTGGTTGGTTTCCGGCTAAGAGACTAACAACGTCAAATCATCATTCAAACAGAATGTATTTAGAAGCCATAGAAATACACAAACACCAAGAGAACTTCAACAGAAAGAAAGAGAAAACATATCTACGAAATATCTGGCACAAGGCATTGAAAACTGCCAAAAAGTGTTTTCATTAGATTCATTTCTTGCCAGAGGTTCCAAATTGTACTTATCAATTTATGAAGGAACAAATAAATAATATTCTATTTTTTCAAGGTAATCTACTCTACTTTATCTTCATAAAAAGCAGAGCCTCGTTGAGAAATACTTGATAGTATTTCCTTTCAGTAAACTCTCTGGCTCTTCCGCTGTCACTAATGTCTCTTTCGTGCATTGATTGGGAGCCAGAACTTGTGAATATTTCGTTTTCCTTGTAATTCTTTTTGCTACCTTCATAACAGTATTTTGTTTCTGTTTTTAAAAGGATTTGTTGTCCTCAGTTGTTTTAGATTGGATGAAATTCGGATGAATTGTATCCCTGGGTTTGTGAAGCCATAAGAAACATACCATTACCTCCTCACTGATGTGATCTTTTATTCTCAACCATCTACAGTATACTATATATAGTTTTAATATAGGTTCCACTTATCAAAAGCTGCGATAAGCTTTACATCGTGCATTTGTTTCTCAAAGAGAGTATAATTTATGATACAAATGGTGTTACTGTTATTTTTTACTATATTTTAATTGTATGTGGGCCATTGTTGACTCAAATTCAATTATTTTTCAACTATCTAATCCTTCACATATTTTGCATGAGGATCTGCTGCTATAAAAATAGTAAAAGTTAGACATAAGATGCTACCATCACCGTGTATATTAACTAAATCAACAAAATGGTATATTACGCACCTAGGAAGAAAAGTACGGCATTTTCGCCCGCGAAATGGTGGCAAAATCCCAGGGAAGGCGGGGGTGACAAAATCGCGGGCGCTCATGTCATACTTGTCACCCGTGGTGCGTACCTATACGATTTTTTCTCACTGCGGAGTGAAAAGTTCGATCATTTCGTTTATTTAGCGTTTTTCAAACACATATTAAAATTTTAACTGTCGTCACGTATTTCAAGTTGTCATAGACAGTTTGATAATCAATTCGTCGCTAGGTTACCGAAAGGAAAAGTAAGTTATGAGCATGCGCGTTATTGCTATCTAACCGGGAGGGAACGAGGCACCTTTGTTCCTCATATAGGACACAGAAAGCGAACTTTTCATCCCGCAGTGAGAAAAGTCGAATTTTCCACCTTTACTTTGTGACAGAGGTTGACTCGAGTTTCTCGATAAATTTCCAAGAGCTTTGAATGATAGAATCTGAGAATTTGTGTACATTGTAGGTATTGTGACAGTGTACAGTTTTTTTTAAATTAAATTTCTGCTAAGTTACATATGTAACCAAAACTTAAGAAAATATCAGCTCTGTTTAATTTTGGAATAAAGATAGGAAAACCTTTTTCGTATGTCATGTTCCAAGGAGGCAGAAAATTCGATCTTTTTGATTGTATGTTCAGAAGCGACAAATTCAAAGCAATAATGGTCAAAAATGATCTGCAGTTGAACTTGCAAATACATAACAATGACATTCAACCAATAAATTATAAGATATTATTAGTATGAATGCTTGGAAAGAGCAATAACCCCAAAGGTTACTGAAAATCCTGAACATATCTCAGGATTTTGCCCTTCCAGTAATGGTGCAATAACTTCATGGCTGGAAAGGAACTTTTACCAGGCTTTCAAATGTTTTCAATTCCAACCTTGCCAGATCCTCTATAATGGTAAATGGGCATTTTTTAAACTTTATAACATGAGGGATATTAGCAGTTTTCTATTGTTTCAGTTCGACTACTCAACTTAGATCGAAAAACTTAACAAGTGCCACCTATTGAACCGCAGTTTTTCTGAAAATACATCTTTATTCTGAACCTGAATAAGTTGGACATGGCAATGAAAGAGTCACCCAATATTTTGATGTTCGAAGTACGATTGAAAACCTATTAAAAAATATGTCATACCATCGCAAACATTTTGCACATCACTAATTCATCCTACCATGTTACCTAGTTTTCAAGTATTGTTTTACCTTTTGTAATATATGTTAGACTGTTACTAATTTTTGTCATTGTATTATAAGTGTGTTTTACACTTCATGGACATCTTTACCCTACTGATTTGTAAAAGGGTTTTTATACTTTTCAACAAGAGGAGTAAATATTATTATTATTACCAAGATATTTTACGGTCTACAATAGGTCTCGGTTTTCTGAACAAATTTAGAAAATAAGCCTTTTAATAATATTACTGCTCTTCATTTCAGGAGAGAAACCTTTCAAATGTAAGATTTGTGGTAAAGGTTTCATTTATTCATCTCCATTGGAAATTCATCTGAGAACACACAGTGGTGACAAACCTTTTGTATGCGCTGAATGTGGAAGTCGTTTTTCAACATCAACACAACTCAAAATGCATACTAGGGTTCATCACTCCAAAGAGAAACCATATCGTTGTGATATATGTGCCAAGGTAAATTGTATCAATTTCAAAATAATAGACTCTCCACTCTCTACTGTATACACTTTTTTGTTTTGTTTTTTAAGCACACCAAAACAACTTAATTTTCAGTAGGTTTCATTCTGCATGCTACAATCATTCTCTAGTAGATAGTATTATTTATTACTTTGTCTTTCCTTTTTCAATTTTGGAATCATGAATTTCTGAAATGCATTAGGTTTTTTTTAATTTTCAAATCCCATCAATGTTTTCACGTTTGATAATGTTCAATTCACCTTCAATATGCTTATTTTCATTGACGAGCTTGTTAAGCTTTTCCGACATGAAACAAACAGTGAGATTACCAAGAGGTTTCTCCAAAATCGACCTACTCAGAAAAGGTTGTTCATTTTTGTCATAATTCATTCAAGTCAACCTGAATTTCAAACTATTTGAAGACAAAGCAAAAATATCTTAAATAGGTATGAAAGAACTAGCCTATCTGGTGCAGAACTAGTTAACCGTTGCAATGTTTCTTGATATCTGTTATCTGATTGATACTTCCCCAGAAATACATACACACGTGTGGAAAAACATCAGATTCAAGTTATACAATTCTTCGTCAGAGATGTCTCAGAAAAGTAGGAACCTATATTCTTAGTATCTAGAATACCTATGCATTTCTTTGAGTTCAAGTTGAAGTATATATAATGGTATGTTTCGTTTTTTATATGGATTTTCTCGTTGTCTTTTCATTAATAGCAATAACATATTTAGACTCTTATCGAAATAAATTTTTCAGTGACCGAATGTTGATTACGATTTTTTGAATAGAAACGCCTAGAAATATATGTGGCTTTATACATGGTGTTGGTGATGGGTTTTCAAACAACACTTGTATCTTTTTACAAAAACTTGAATGAAGGAATGGATATTCACATCTACCTGCACAAATTTTCAAGACATTTTTGGAGTTAATGGCCTCTAATTTTTGGAGACATTTTGAGGAATTATATGACCTGACTTTGATGATATTTTTCCAAAGAGAGACGTCCAGAAATAGTGTCGTTATGGCTCAATTTGATATGATAGTGGCTACTAAAATTGATGGAAAATAATCATATATCTTCATTAAAAACTCCTGGGACTCCATAATGAAAATTGCTCCATACTAGATCATAAAAAACAAAACATCTTATTTTTCTCAAAATATTTTTGAAATACCCATTGAAATCTATAATGTATATGGACTTAGCTTCTCTTACCGCATTTATGAGTCTGATTATTGGTACTTACAGTTCACCTAATGACATGTTGCTAAGTGACCACTAGCGTGCGATATTTTGATACTGTAACGTTCTGATTTATTATTCAATACAAAAACATCACTTTTTTTTCATCCTTGCAATAGATGAACTGGAATGAACCTTTTTTATGAAGTACGAAAAATCACTCACTAGCAGCGCTAGTAGTTCGGTAGGGACAAACACTGCCTAATCCTCATATAAACATATGGTAAAGTACAATTAAAAATTAAAAAAGAATGTTTTTAACGGGAGAATATGTTCCTGGAGCAAAACTAAAATTTGCAACTGGAAAAGATAACAATGTTGTACCATTAAAACGTTGGCTTGCATGCCGTAATTTAAAAGTAACTGAAAAAAAAGTGAATTAATAGACAGGTTAGTATACAGACTCTAGTAAATTAATATTACGTAAATAACACTGTTTTACATGTGAATAGTTTATGTTTGTCCCTACTACTAGTGCTGCCTCTCGTGACACGTTCGCTGTACTATTCTCAGGAAAAAGGCTCATTATTTTAATATGACAAGTTTTTTAGACAAATCGAAAGACAGGTATGTTTATTATTATTGTACTTTAGTAAAACACTCTTTAAATCCTTCAAAGTAAGAATCAATTTTGCTGCAGCTGGAGTATTTGTGTAGTAATTCATTTCACTCAAATATCAGTTTCTGGTATACACACCAACATATGTTTAGTGGGTGCCTGAATATTCAGATTCAAAAAAATTAAAGTATCCTTTTATATATTCAATATACGGCCTAAATTGATGAAAATCTTTTTCAGGAGTTTGCTGGTGGTTCTGGTTTAGCAGCTCATACACTTACACATACTGGGGAAAGGAAATTTGTGTGTCCCACCTGCGGCAGAGGATTGAGAACATGTGGTGATTTAAAAAAACATTTACGTACTCATACAGGAGAACGACCATACAAATGCAAACTACCTGATTGTGACAAAGCATATAAAACCTGTAGCCAGTTAAGTGCACATCTCAAATCACATACTGGTAAGGTTTTCAGTTGAACTATTGTGTTCTTTATTAGTGTAGTAATTTCTGGTATAATGAGACAAATACTTGTTTTCATTCAGCTGATTCAAATTAGAACTCTAATGTAATAAATAGGATGTACAGCATCCATCAAAGAATACATTAATAAACAACCAAGCTTTTGTGAAACTGCCGATAGGAAATATAAAGAATACTGGGAAAATACAGCTGAAAATACACAAAATAAAACCTTTATGAAGAGAACTGAAAAACTGTTTCAACAAAGCAGGGATCTCCTCAGAACTACTACAGAACATCTCACGTGACAGTCTATTTAGGGGACACCTGAATAGAATAGGGCTACATAAATGATACCATAGTAACAGGCAATGCAATAAAGGGATGTGTTAGTGTTCATATTGTTATGAAGTTCACCACAAAACAAGAAGAACCAGCTCCTAAGAAATTGAAAATAGTCATAATAAAAAAATGAAAAGGTTTAGTGAAAACAATTCAAACCCATCCACTCATCTTTCCTAGCTGTGAGTGCTTAAATTGATTCCTTGGGATTATTTGGCACTTGTAATTTTGGTAAATTGAAAAATAAGTCCCTGTAGATAGATAAGTTCATGTAGATTATAATAGATCTGTCTATGGTGCCGAACCAAGCTGAACCTTATTTTTTTCCTCAGTGTTGTCAAAGTTTCGTGAAAAATACAGGGGATTCAAATGCGGCGAAAATCAAACATAAACAGATACATTGAATAACTGCCTTTTATTTAGAAGTACTAATATACGCTCATGGAAACCTATAAGTCTAGATATACTATAAAACAAAAAACAAAGAAATTTTCAAGTAGCAACAGAGATGTAGAGTAGTATCATTAATAATATTCCTCTTCAATTTAAAAATGATTGAATGTTGATAATAAAAAATTGACTTTACTTATCCACTGGAATGTATAAGTTTCAACATATTGTTTTTCAACTGTGGCAATCCATTATATTTAGAAAATATTTAGACAACCTGCATCTATGAATATGTACATCAATTTCTCTTCTTGTTGGATAATGGTGAATTTCTTCATCACATACCTATGTAATAATATATCTATCATAGTGGAAATATGTGTTTTACACTTCAAAATTATTCTCATTTAACTATTTTGCAACTTTCGGAGTGCAGAGATTTTTGGTAATCATAGGAATATAGTAGAGTCCAAAAATGGCTAGGTTATCTTTTAAAAAAATAAGGCTTTTTGTCATCTTTCTGTAAATGTAGTTAAATTTAATAACAAATAACTGTTGATTATGAATTTCAAATATTTAAATTTCTCCACAGGTTCAATTTTGCCCTTTTCAACAGTCGAAGTGACTTTTGATATAATAATCTATTTTTGCTTTTGTGACGTTGTTAAAATCATTGCTTTTGTTGAAGCTGGGATGATTCTGCCACCGTGATAGGAATCACACGTTGAAAGTTAAGACCTCGTTAGTCCTTAGCTCGCACAAGTTTCTCAACTTCTGAGAGTTGTCGTTCGTATGGGGGCGACAGCTGATTAATGGAAAAACAGTTTTTTTTCTCTAAACAGTTACTTCAAGTTTGAGTTGATTTTTTTGGGGGTGTTGAAAAGCCTGATGTAGGGATTGATTTTTAACGATGAATCTCTTTGTTGAGGTCTGAATCAGAAAGATATATATTCGGATAGGTTTATGCGGTAAGAAATCTGTGAAACTGTAGTTTGTGTAAGTTTTTTGTTGTTCGGTTCGATTTGGGTTTTAAATCCTTTGTCAAGAACTGAAAAGTATGGCCAAACTAAGGTCTCAATCTGCCTACTTACTTACAACACACATTTTGTATGACTATCATTCCTCCCATTAAGTTGAAAAACTAAACAACAAAAAACGTTAGATGAAATTCAATCTGAACTACAGGTAATAGAAGTATTGTGACTGATAAGATCAAATATATAAATAATTTCGTGGGGTTGCAGTCATTGATGTAGTTTGATTATGTCGATGAATAAACGAACTGACTTAAATATTCTCACAGATATACACTTATATTTTGGAATATCAAAAAGAAAAAGACAAATTTGAATCACTCTTTAATCAAAATTTGATCACTGTCATTGTCATTCATTTCAGTCACAATCAATGAATGTTTTTCTTTTTCATTAGAGATTCCAATCTTTGTGAATAACCTCACTCAGGTAATCACTTCAATTTTTTTTTATTACATCAAATTGTTGTCAAGTTGTCTAAGAGGAAGGCATTAAACGGTGTTGAAAGCTTGAAAAAAATAATTAGTTTTCTATAATCGAATTTTATCATTGAAATTGTATATAAGTATATACAAGAAAACAAAAAAAANCTATATATGAGGCATAGAGTTTTAAGGTTATTCATGAGTGATAACCTTACGCCTTCAGTCTCGGGGAAAAGAAAGGGACTGCAGGAATTGTCCTGACTCCCTTCTGACGATAATCTGTTCTATTCATAACTTACCTTGACTACATGTTATAGTGAAGTGAATCCAGTTTTTCACTATCTTGCAGGATACTTCAACGTTTTTGAACCAAATGTGTAAAATATATTATGATAATGAATTCTGGACATGGAGAGGTTACACTCATACTATATCGATTTAGTTGATGTCTGTCGATGGGCAGGTTCTCTTTATATCCAGAAACTTCTTTTTGGTCATATATTTCTTTGAATACTGTTTCAGTTCCGGTAGTATTTTCATATAGGTAGGTAAGTAGATTCAAAGTGAGTGGGTCTATTCGGCCCTCCACTGCAACCCTTGTGGGTTTATTATGGCTCACACCTATTCAAACTCAACCAAATAAGTCCATCTTCTTGATGGAGCTGATTAGTTTATTTGGACTGTGACATCTCAGCTCAGAAGGAAATGGTGAAACTCTGCCAAACTGTGAAAGTCTTATTCTTCGGTCTGCGGAGGGGAAGTATGTGCGGGGTATGTGCTCTGCTGATTCTTTATCTTCTGAATAAAAACAACGGTCCAAGTTTCTTCATATGACGATTCAGACGATCGTGACCTGTAAGTAGGTATATTAGACAATCATTTGGAAATGTATTTTAAAGTATGTACAAATATCTTTAAATGGACCAATCCTGGTATATTTTGCCAGGAGTCTGAAACTCTTCTTGTGGTACACATATTCAGAGTTTATTTTGCAAAGCCTAAAAGAAGGCCAATGGCATGTTCTGGCTGCAGCACTCCTCCTCATAAGAAAGTCAGCAGCTTCATTACATTTAAGGTCTGTGTGGCCAGAAATCTGGACCAGACCATAGTCCCTAGGCAAATTTATATCTCTGTCTTGGGTCTGCGTCCATATATACACCTACATCTCTCAGTATTTCCTCTTACTGGAGGATCCAGTTCCCTCTACTCAAGATAAGAACTGTATAAAGCAGGTCGCAAGCCTTGCATCAGGAGGTATTGAGTCGGAGGTCATTCTCAGAATGCTGTAACTTTCAGGGTCAGCCAGTATTATACTTCGCCTTGCATATACTTGTTTTGTGCAATGTGAAGACATTAGACCTACGATTTCTATAGCTGCTGACAGTGTGGTGCAGAGTGTACGGGAGAAAGGCAGGCTAGTGTGTCTGTATAGCATCTGTTTAAAATCTGTTTTTCCGTTAACCAGCTGTCGCACCCCTACGAACTACATCTCTCAGAAGTCGAAACTTGTGCGAGCTAAGGACTAACGAGGTCTTACCTTTTAACGTGTGATTTCTAACACCGACAGGCTACCGTCCGCTATAAAGCCAGCCTTCTGGTATTTGCATATATGGTGCCTGTAATCAACTTGTATTATTTATTTAAGCATGCCATCATTATTATTTTGCTATTAAACCGAATTTTAAAATTTTGTCCATTATTTTTGAATACATATCCAGTATACAAATTTTACTTTTATGGATATAAATTTAAAAAATGGTTCATGGAATTTAACAAAGTTTCTAGGATTTCAAAACCGTGATAAAAATTATCATTTCAGGTGAGAAGAATTTTCCGTGCCCAATTTGCTTAAAGTATTTTGGAGATGCAACTCAGTTGAAAATTCATAGTCGAGTACACACGGGAGATAAACCATACAGTTGTTCTATTTGTGGTTGCAAATTTACACAATCTGGTTCATTGTATAATCATATGAAGATTCATAACAAAAATGATTCTGACAATATGAAGTAGTAAGAGTGTAATAATTCAGTAATTTATAAATAAAAAAATTAGAGTACTTTGTGTTTGTTGATGAATATCAAATGCTTACCTTTTTAAACTGCCATAGAATATCTGACTCTCTTTCATTCAACATTGTTGGAATCCCAAATGAGAGAGGTTGGAGATATAGTTATAGTAGATTGGTTGCAATATATTTACAAAACAGTTATTATTTAAATGACTTTTTTATGTAACATTCGATCAAAAAAACCTTTGTCATTTGTTTTAGAATAAAATACTTTATTGTTTATATATGCACATTTTTTGACTCCAAATTAGTTTATTTGTGCTGCATGTGAGGAAGAAAGTCAGGGTTTTCATGAAAAATGAATTTGTAACTATCATTATTGCAGTTTTGTCCTATATGATCATTTTTCAAACTAATACAATATAAGTTTTATTGCATTAGTTTTATTTGTCCTATATGGACCTTTTCAAATTTATACAATGAAAGTTTTATTGTATTAGTTTGATAATGTCCATATAGGACGAACCTGCAGTAACGATAGTTACAAATAAAACTGAAAAAACATAGAAAGTTTAATTTATCATTTTTCATGATGATTTCCTACCACTTAGTAACGGCTAAATCAATCAATTTATTGTTAGGGTTTTCCTCAAAAAGTTGGCTCTCCAAGGAAAGGAATATATTGCTCTGAGAAGGTGATTGTTTCTGATTGAATTGGTCTTTTAGATAATTTGATTTACAGCCATTCTCCAAGTATGCCCACTCATTTATGTGAAGTTTTCTTCCTTATACAAGGAATTGGACAAATTCAGATATGCGGTTGGTTACCTCGTTCACGGGCAGATGGGGCGATAACAAACATGTTTGTCGTTCGCTTCAGCCAAGTTCAAGGAATGATACTCTAGAAGAATTCGATTTTCAATTATGGGAAATCATCGACTTCATGTTGATGATAGACAGTACCTTGCACTGACGAGTGGCCAAACAGCCCGAAACCGATCTGCAAGTGGATTCCAATAATTGAAAATTGATTTCCGCAGTTGTATCGCCAACAGCATATGCAGGAATAACTTCAGTGAAGACTGCTGCACTGACTCCTGCCGGATATAATTCAACGCCCTTCGTGATATTAGCCAGGGGAGTAGTTGCTTTCTGATAGGTGTCAGTCCATTAACCTACACTGTAGGTAAGTTGAGACTGTCCTGAACGAATTGTTCTTTTAGATAGTTTGTTTCTGAAATATTTGAAATTACTTGCGTATAACTGATTACAAACTTGTCAGGACGTGAACATCCGATAAAATTTACAATGCTTAAAACAGTTTTTGAATATCTTTCATGAAATTTGTTTCTTTTATACACTGGAATAGCTTTTTGCAGCCAGTGAGATACCATCCGACCGAAATGTTCATTAAAACGATGACTCACGTCGAGAATGGCTGTTTGGCCGAGTTGTATCCAAACAGCATAGTTGAATTTTTGTTCCCTGACTACCCCTTTTAAACAGAGAAGGCTGCGCACCAACTCATGTAGCGTGAATCAGTTAATTATTTTGTCTTGGTACACGTTATGACTGGTACTCCACGTCTTGTGATAATATTGCATAATTCTTTTCTCCCCCTATCTCCCTCTATCATTCTGTTAATTCACCAACTTAGTCAAGTTATCTAAAAATTCAAGAAAAAATTGAAACCTCAAAATAATTGAAGCAAGGAGAATAATCATCGTTAGAAAAATTAATTTATAAACTTCAACGACTGATTTTACTTATATCTCTCAAGTAACAGAGAACAAAAACAGTTGAACTCAACCCAAGAACGTTCTAACAAATTTCCCATTAATATGGGACTAGTTTCCTAACTTTCATAATAACTAAAAAAGACCAGAACCATTGAAAATAAATAGAAAAAAATCATACTTGATTTCCCTCAATGCTTAAAAACAATGAAACGATTCCTTTTTATTAACATATATTCCTCGTGTACCAAGCCCAATTGATCAAAATGATCATAACAAAAAAAATTGCTCTTAAGCAAAACAACGATAAAAATAAAATAAAAACAACAATAAAAATTAATTGGCGCTCCGGAGCGACTTTATTGATCCCAGTGGCGCATTTGCTTTTTCAGCTGCAGGAAAACCCGGAAAAACCTGCAGCACCACATCATCTGAAGATCTTGATCTAACAATGTTCTCTCTCTTATAAAACAAAATGTAGGGTGTCTCCAGAGGCTCCAATAAATTCAATGCATCGCCAGAACACCTCGTGACACGACTATCTCAAACTTAAACCAGTCCATTTCGTCTTTGACCAAGGCGTAATAATGACCAAATTCAACGCCAGAACCACAGTGAACAATTACTGCATGAATATTATAATCGTGGTCTGCTAGGCTGAAATGTTCATCTATTTCGAACCTTCCAAAGAGTTTCTTGCTTCCGTTAGAGGTTGAGTCTTGTTTGAAAATCATCAGTGTTATTATTAGATTGACTGGTGCCTCAGCTATGATTGAAATCCCCGACCTACGGTCTCGGGATTTCAATCATACCTTCATATACTCAAGTCATTTGGTCAATTAAATTTCGAAAATTGTGTATATATCCTGTGGAAAGGAAAAATCAAAAACTTTTTTTTCAGTGTACCTCTCGACTGAAGGTTTTTGTATATGGTTGATCGACATAGTTTAATAGCTTCTTCCAGTATATTTCTCGTTTCCACGTCTTCTTTTTCAGTTTTAGTTAGTATAGCTTCAGTACGGAAACATAGACTTCGTACTCTTCTGATTCTAAATCTTTCCTGAAGGTTCCTTGCTTCTTCATTACGTTTTTTCATCAAATAATCGTCCAGGTTCTTCAAAACGAACCCTTCGTGTTTTTCCCCTTACCTGTGCTTTGTTTTTATTGTGGACTCCTTCAGTTCTTTCCACCATACGCAATCAGTCTGCCTACATCTTCTAATATTGCTTCCTGTACGACTTTGGTTAAAGTAAGGTCTATTGTCCTGATCATTTGAATATTTGCCTTATGGTCAGCTTCGTTTTGACTAAATTATTCCTGGTTATTTCTGAAATTTTGACCAATATATTTTTCTTCCACCATGGCACCGAATCTTTGTCCACTTTTCGAGGGTATTTTATTTATCTCCATTTTGTCTTCAAGTTTCGAAACTTCACTAATCTTCACATTTGAAATCATTTATTCCATTCAACTTATTTCTATTCCCCCTAATTATCATGTTTGGAAAATTTTCTTCCTTCTCAATTGCTTCCATAATTGTTTTTTCCGGCCTTCTCTTGGCATGTATTGTATTGTTGACAGAGTCTCTTCTTCCAATGACTTGTTTATGACCATGGGGAGATTGGCATATAACAGTTTCTTCCTAAATAGCTTAAATAGCCTCACTAGTTTTTCGCTTTCCCTAAATCAAAATTGGTCTCTTTCCATATTAGAATTTCAACGTATGTCATTGCATCTTCACGCCGGCCGCTTTTCAATTGGTTCAAATCTAAAGCTTTATTACTTTCTCAAATATGCTTCTTCTTAGTCAGTCATCATTATCTTGCACAACCGCTTACAAAATGTTGAAACATCTTCATCGTATCTTTGTAGCAACGCTTGAATTTAGCCAACTTCAAAAGGTAATTTAAAAGGCGGAAATCAGAAAAGCCTGAAGTATCAAAACTCCTCTCTGACACAAAACACCATGAACATTCCTGGTTAATTTTAATTTAAATGATTAGAAAAGTTGGTCGTCCCTCGCTAGTAAGTATTCACCTGTGCCTAGATTTTTTCCTGCATGAAATAAAATCAAATGCACTTTAACTTTTTGCCCTTTAAAATACAATATCATTTTTTCGACCAAGCTTTTAAACGCTCCAAGATTACAAATTCTATTTCCTTTTATGTCACTGACACTAGAAAAATTTATTCTGGAATCTTAAATCGTCAAAATTAAATTGTCCCTGCCACTGCTAAAAGTCTTAAAATTTTATAAAAATATTTATTTATTTTTTATTGCCACAGCTCCATTTTGTACCATAGTTTCTTAAATATCTCTCAAAGTTTGTAAAAAAATGTATGACACCTTTTATGTACCGTCAATTTCTATCTCTGTTTATAAATTCTCTGAAAAAGCCAATTAACTATCCCGCTGCTAGCAAATGTATTAACAGCCTTATTGTCCTTGATTTTCATCAAGTATCGGCCGATTCCATCATATAACTAATATGTATATAGGAATCATGACCATTAACGAACCATGTACGAACTGATAGATTTCTACTGTTTAAGTGTTATTCATCTGGCAAATATGAAATTGAAGACCCAGAAGAGTTACTATGAGGAATAGATCACTCAATGAGTGTGACTTCAATAATTAATCATCAGAATCGGACACGAACAGAAGTTTAATGAGAGATGATAAAATGACCGAATGGATTGCAATTAACAACCTTGTCGTTAACGAAAACCCACATGGTTTCTTCTGAGATCCAACGAAAATTTTCGGCATTTGCAATTGGCAATACAACTAGAAGAGTCGACCTTCAATTTTGGAACGGACACACTTGCAAGTCGGTTGCGGGCTCATTAGCCACTCATCAGTGCAAGATAGTGGCCATCATCGACCTAAAGTCAATGATATTCCATAATTGAAAATCTGAATTCTTTCAGAGTATTTCATTACTCTTCCTAAGTTGGAGCGAACAACAAAATATCACTCCATCTAGTGGACGAGGTACTAACCAACTGCATATCCGAAATTAGCTCGATTCCCCTGAATGAGGAAGAAAAACTTTCTTATTAGTCAGTGAGCTATGCTTGAAGACTGGCAGTAAACAGTGAAGCTATTTACCTATACGATCCATGGCATTCTAGATCAAAAAATGAAAATTGGATTAAAAATGATTTTATTTGTCAAATATTAACAAGAGAAGTATTGTTGGATTCAGAATGCCATTCTCGATCGAAATAAGTAAAAATATATAGGATGTCCCATGTCACATCCTATACCAATCAAAACACAACAAGACCTAACATTCAATATATTACACAAAACAATAGACACTCCTAGAAACAGTAAACCTAGAGAAGATCCAACACAAAGAATATTACCTGGTGTAACCCAAATACAGGCAAATTTACCTGAACTAAGGCGTTCAGACCGCGTAAAAGGACAAACAAGAGTTTGACTCTGCTGTAGACGTATGCTGTAGACGACCCCTCCCGATATAGAAGGCCCCGACACTCTGTCGAATGAGGCCCTCATGTCCCCCGTTAACGAATGAACAACTTTCTCATCCATCCCACCCCAGCCAGGTAGGGGTATCCCGTGAAGGGCGGCACTGATGTCTAAGGACTTTATGCCGTCATCAATCAGTCATGAACCCATTGGTCCTTCTCGAGACCAACAATCAGTCGAAAGGGTAGGGGAGCTGGACTCCAAACCTGAAAGAATTGAAGATGACATTCTGAGTGACTCGTTCAGTTTGAGTAGAGCCTTGATGATGACAGCACGACCAGCTGTCGAAAGCGCTTGCATATAATTAAATAGGAGTTATAAAACTCCAAATCCTTTTTATAACTAAAATTCGTTGATATATCAAAACATCTATATTTCCCGACTTTTTTTTCCGAAACCACATCATCAATATTATTTTTTGTTAAGAGCTCGAATTTCCGAATGTTACCTACTGAAAATGTACGGTTACGGAATGTGGTGGCGATAATGAAATCGGCGTTTTAGGTGAGTTCAAAGAAGATTCACAATAATGATAAAGAGACATTAATTTGATTTAGGCTTTATGGAAAATAAAAAAATTGAGAACAAGGAAGTATCTTTGAGGGAGATTGCTCATAATTCGGCCATTTCCACTATGTCTGTACGGAAAATTTTGAAGAAAAATAAATTCAAACTTTATCGAGTCAGGAAAGTTCATCATTTGCGTTTAACGTACTTCAATAGGAGAAAAGGTTTTTGTAGATGGCTCATTAGAAAATTTCGCCAAGATAATGAAATTTGTAAAAATAAATATGTGGTGTGATGAAAGTACATTTATCAATAAGGGGTGGTTCCGGGAATATACATTATCATTGGCGACAAGAAAATGAATATTTACATAGAGTTACCAATTTTCAAGAGAGATATGGTGTTAACGTATGGCTTGGTGTTCTTGATAATAAAATTATTGGCACCCACTTTTTTGAAACATCTCTGACCGGAGAATTATACTTGAATTTCTTATCAGGGACTTTAATTGAGTTATTTGAAGATTTGCAACTTAGCCTCATAAGAAATGAGTATTTCCAACAAGACGGAGCTCCACCACATCGCAGGAGAATCTGCAGATATTTCCTCAATACAACTATGCCAGAAAGGGGGATAGTAAATAATGGTCCTATTGAATGGCCACCACATTCAAAAGAGCTTTCTCTTCTAAATTTTTCGTTGTGGGGCTTCATAAAAGATCAAGTATTCAGAACAAATTTTGAAAATGTTGAAGAATTGAAAGATTCAATAAGTAGTGCCTGCATCGATATCACTCCACAGATGTTAGAGAACTGCCGCAAGCACACTATTTCCAGAGCAAGTATTTCTTTAGGAAATGATGGAAGAATATTTGAACATTTGATGCTATACCGCGTGAGACGGTAACTTAAAAAATGTAACGTGAGACATTCCGTTATGGTGTTCATTTCCTATCATTTATTATTTCGTTACATTTTCTCTCGCAACTGTTTTTTTTTCAATGTGATGTACTAATGATACCGTTAACTATGTGTTACAACAATAGTTTGATATTTAATTTCTCACTGAATAAAACAAGTTAAATGATATAATATTGATGATGTGGTTTCGGGAAGAAACGTCGAGAAATACATATGTTCTGATGTCAACGACTTGTAATTATAATGACTATGAAAATGTATAAAAAATATACAGGTCCGTATTTAAAAAACATAGGTATATTGATGATGGAATTCAATGAACAAACGTTGCATTGAAAAATGAGTCCAACCAGATTAGAAAGCACATGAAATGAAGCAAAAAGTTTGTCTGCCATTTTTTGATTGTATTGAAAATGGAGACGGTAGAGCAAAAAAATAAAATCTGTCATTTTCAGTTTTTTGCAAATATCTCAGAAACCGTTGATGATTTTATAGATCTGAAAATACCAGTGTGTTGCATCCCTAAATACTCAACTTTTGTTCCGTGTAACCGTCCTTGTAGGATCTACCGTTTCCGAGATAGCAATAATGGTATCAGCTAAAAAATACGACCTGTATATATAGAAAATGTACATAGAATAAAAATATATATAGAAAAAACTTCGAAACCACTGTGTGATTTCTGTTGATGAGGTTGCAATTTCAATGATGCCAGGAAATCGGTGCTTATCATTCCTGTAAAATATTCCGAGTAGGTATGGTCTCCCAGAGAGAAACACAGATAAAACACATGTTTCTTTTAGATGAAAACACACTTAAAAAAAATAAATTTCATATATTTTATCAACTTGGTAGATATTTCAACACAACTTATGTAAATATAAAATAAAATATTTGAAAGTCGATGTATGAAATACCCTGAATTAAAAGCCTAATAACATGTACATCTCTACTTGCCCTTTTTTACATGAGTTTATTATTCATTTTCAAAAATGTTGATATTATTTCTGGGGCTGCTGTAACTAATTCTTTGATAAAATCATCTACGATTGGAAGTGTTTGTTTCTCAAAAGTCTTACATAAATTATAAATAAATGTATTGTTCAAATATTCAGCAATCAGAAATTCCGGAAACGGCATATTCAACACATCGTTAAGTAAGTTAATGTGTAAGAGACAGCTTTGAAACTGTGACATACAATGCATCAAATCTTTATCAAACAAGTTTGTTTCCTTATTCTCAAAATAATCTTTGAAATAAAATATTTCGGATGCTTTTATAGGGTTATCTCTATTTTCATCACCTTGCAACGTAGAAGGAATGTTTAGATTCATGTTTTCTTTGTGAATGGTATCAGAACAACGGACGGAGCGCTTTTTATCATCATATATGTGACCCAAAATAATCACACATATAATCAGTGAATAACGAAAAAAAATGGGTAGCGGAGATATGTTTTCAATATAACATATTGAAGTTATAAACAGTTGAAAACGTTCCGAAAACGACAGTATAGTATCTTTCATAGTATGAACTCCAAGTATTTTCAGAATAAGCAATTTCCTGTCATCAACGTAAATATCTTGAATTTCTATGAAAGAAGGAGCGTCGATCTCGGATACAGGAAATACTTTTTCAACCATACATTCACCTTCTCGGACAAGGCATGTTAAATTTGAAACAGAGTTGGTGAGAATTTTGTGGATAGCATTCACAATTTTCTCGCTCAAATGGTGGGAATGTATCGAATTGATTTTTTCCAGTTGTGGTTTGAAACCAAAATACTGGTTATGGATATATATATCCATTAAATATGGAGAATATCGACATTTCCTGAAGTTTTCAAGAAAAATATCTGGAATTTCACTCATTTTCTCTCCATATTGAAGATCGAAATTATTTTCCGGAAAATCATGATTGCTACATATTTCCAGATAGGACGAGTGTTTACTTTTGTAGCATTTGACAACGCATTTGAAGCTTTCCATTTTTTGTTGTAGTTTTTCTCTATCCGCTGTAGTTTGTGCAATATTCAAGAATTCCTGTATGGCAGCTTCAACGCTTCTTTCTCTAATCCATGAGGCTATATTTGAAATATGTTCACATGGATGGTGAGCCTTTGGATATAAAGAAGCATATTTTGGAAACTCATATGCATCAGTTTCTAATATTGCAATTAACAGAGGTAACTTATCAGAAGTCAACTCAAGGTGTTTGAGAAATCCATTCATATCAAATGCAGCACACGGAATATATTTTATTTCAGGATTACCTCCCGTTGTAGGTCGAATACTACTTGAGTAAGGGTTTACTTCAGTTAAACATACGCTTTGAAACGGTAGATATACTATTTCAGCACAAAAAAAATAGTTCGGATTACTGCTCAATACTGGACAATTTAAACTTCTTGCAATGCTTACTACTTCGCCAAAACTTTCGAAGTCGCACCGAACCGTTTTGATTTTCAATTTCCTCAACACATATTCAAATACATTTCTCATGAATAAAGGAAAATATTGCACCTTATTCTCTATAAAAACGTTTGGTGGCAAATCTATTAATCTTTTAAGCCTATAAGATACTATTATTGATTTGAATTTTATATCGCGAATTCCTCCTTCAAAAATAACATAAGGAGTGATCTGGTGATTACATAACATTTTAAAAAATAATTCGATGTACTCTGCATAATTGTTATAGTCCCCTTGAGGATTGCCCTTTCTGTGTATAACATGTATTTTGTACAATTCACGGGAAATGCTGTCCCCGTCTATTACCAGACTTGTATTATTCAATTCAAACCCTCTCAAAAGCGATTTGCTTTCAATGTATTTCCACAAACACCAGGGCTCCATTTCCTAAGTACCTGTAAAAAATACAAACGAGGTATAATTGGAAATGTATGTTGAGATTAGGGGATATCTTACCGTTCAAGAAAGGCGAAGATATAAAAATAAAATATTTTATCCACCACTTGGTATCGAAGAAACTACATATACATGATCCTCTCAAATATTAACGTACGATGAGTCTGTTGAATTGTACATTCCCCAGAATTGACTTCGACTTGGCTGCTGGTTAAAAACAATAGTACCTAAATGATAACACGGCACAAAATTTTCGACAGTTCTAACATATTAATCTAATTTTACAATCCTAAGGCCTGTTTTACGACTGCCATTATAAATCGCGTCGCTAGCACAGTGCAGTTATTAATAATTCAGTCTGTATATATACGATAATATTATTGATAACATTTGTTCTCAAAAATCGCGTGCATGAATGAAACTGTGGGCACCATCATTTTCGTTTGTCGCGTTGCGACAAAAATTGGACTTTTTTATAAAGCATTGTCTATATACGCACTTTTATGCATCAGTCGGTCATCGCTAGTGTCGTGGCGTTCTCAAATTCAGTCAATGAATTAATCGATAATCTTTATTGTTCATCAAAACTCTACTTGAATGTCGAGAATATACCCACCTTACTCTTTCTGATTTTTGCATTGTGATTTTATACTCCAAGGAAAGCTGATACTTCAAGTCAAATGAATGGAGGGGTGCTTTCACAATTTTTGGTTTGAGGTTTAATGTTTCATTAGAAATACTAGAAACTAAAAGGTAATCAGAAAGGGTAATTTTATCCTTCACACATGAATCATTCACAAAGTGAAAACGGGATCAAGTCTGTGACACTATTGCCAAAAGTATTTACATGCGTGTACTGACCGTGCCTGGATGATCTACACATCTTTATAAGAAGTTTTTCGAAATTTTTGATGTGAAACATCCATAGCCGTACGTAAAACCCATTGCTGGCGTGGCACGGGTCGCCATTCGCAAGCGACTGTGCGATTCTCTTCCCACTGGTTCGACATTTCGCTATCTCTCTTGCCACACTGAGTTTGGATACCTACCTATAGTGTATACAGCTGTGTTTTACCAAACACATTTTTTAAAAAAACCAAAATTAAAAAAAGGGGAACAGTGCTTCCTGCAAGTCATCAGTAAGTTAATTATATTTGTATATTTTACAATTGAAATGTGCATTTATCTGTGCATTAAGCCCGCGTATATTTGGTCTCAAGGGTCAGTAAATGTAAAATCTACTCTCTTGATAAATTAAAAATAACACCATTTTCATAGCATATAATATTTTTAAATTAATTATTGATTAATTTCAATTTCATTCTTATGAAAAATAATGAACTAAAACATTGCTTGAAAAATACATATCTTATAGACTGACAAAATTGTATTTCAAAATCCTACTAATGGCGAGTAGCTCACAAATGTTTTTCTTATTTGTTATCAATAGGAACATAAAAAAATTATTATTACGCCTTGGTCAAATACGAAACGGACTGGTTTGAGTTTGATGATAGTCGTGTCACTAAGTGTTCTGGCAATGTATCGAATTTATTGGAGCCACTGGAGACACCCTACATTTTATGAGAGGACATTGGTAGATCAAGATCTTCAGATGATGTGGTGCTGTCGGTTTTTCAGGGTTTTCCTGTAGCTGAAAAAGCAAATGCGCCACTGGAATCAATGACGTTGCCCCGGAGTGCCAATTAATTTTTGTTGTTTTATAATTTCATGATTTTTATTGAAAAGTTATTTATATGTAAGTATATTTAGTTTAATAAGAATCAAATGAAAATTTCATCAATAATGGTGGAATTTATATTGATATTTCTAATTTAAGATATTTAGTAATATATTGCAATAACCAGCTCAGATTCTTGAGTTTACTAATATATGAAAGCCGCATTAAATTTTTTCCATATATATTTCAATTACATACTTTTTATAAATATTTCAGTAACCAACAGTCATCACAGGGTTCACAAAATGTTATTATTGATGTTTCACAACTGCCGGGCGTCTCGTACCGACTCACAATTTTTTTGTGTGAAGGTCAAGAAGTGAAACCCACAAAGCTTTCTTTCTTCTCAAAAATTAATCTCTTCTAAAAATATATCGTTACCAATTTAAACAAGATTCCTATGGCTGGGATTAAATCAAACTAGCCTTTGAATGTATTTACGAACTGTCATCGTGACATGAGAAGATTTGTCTCATCCATGACATAAATTCGTAATGTGAAAAATGAAATGAGTGTTTCATCTGGTAATATAATCCAGGTTGGTTCCGATGAGGTAATAAAATAAGTGTCTCATTCCGATTTCGAATTCCGCCATTGAGGATGACGGTTCAATATAAGTGAAATTTTACCTCTTTCATATAGGTACTATATTGTGTAGATATCCTGTTATTACATACAATAACGCATGTTTTGAGAACAAACTGAGTAGAAAAATTATTTTCATATACTTTAATGTTCATATGAAAGTAGTTGGTTCGAAAGTAATTTTGTTCTCGTGTATTTCAATGTTGATGCAAAAGTAGTTGTTTTGGAAGGCCTTTTTCTTCCAGTTTGTATCGAAAAGTATTTTCTATGCATGATATACGCCTCATTATAAAGAGTTCAGTGCTTTATTCCTTCCTTTGAAAGTTTCTCACAATTTTTTCTGGGGAACCAAAAGGCTTTTTTCACAAAATATAATCTCTTTAAAAATATACGCCTTTCAATTATCTACTTATTGTACAATGGTGGATATTTTCGTTACCGTCATCAATGATCCAATGAAATTCATAACAAGCCTCAATTGAAACCGAAGGGCACCACGGTTCAGAAAGCGAAAAAGGATCAGATGGTTGCACGCGCATATCTACCGTTTATCCCTAGAGTCACGGACAGAATTGGAAAACTATTGGGCAAACACGACATCGAAACAGTCTTCAAACCCACGAGGAAAATACAACAAAGCCTCAGGTCGGCTAAAGACAAAAGAGACCTATTATCAGCAGCAGGAGTCTATCGCATACCGTGCACTTGTGAAAAGGTATATATCGGAACCACCAAACGATCTATGGGGACAAGACTAAAAGAACATAAAAGTAACTGCAAACTATGTCTATCGGACAAGTCAGCTGTGGCAGAACACGCACTTAGTGAAGGAGACCACAGAATTTTGTTTGAAAACACAGAACTAATTGCCCCCAATCAGGGATGCCATAGCCGACTGGTACGGGAGGCAATAGAGATCCACAAATACACGGAGAATTTCAACCGAAAAGAAGAAGCGGTGCACCTCAATCAAATATGGAACCCCATTTTGAGGAATTCGAGAATAACGAACAGGACAACAGGCAGCAAGATTGTTAATGTTCCAAGTTGAAGTGCAGGAACGAGTACAGGTACAAATGCAGGTACAAATACAGGTACAAATGCAACTGATTACCTGACAAGGCATAAATACGCTCTACGAAGCCGAAAAGGTAGTCATCGGACAGCAAGCCATGATGGTTAAACTCGCGCCAGCGAAACGTCAGGAAGAAATTCCAAAAATCCACGGCTTTCAAACTCGAAAAGAAATGACACTGGAAGCCTCAACCGTTGAAAGTCGTCCTCATTTTGTTCAGGTTGAAGCCTGGCTTCATTACACTTTCAACTGATGTTTGTCAGAGGGACAAATGGATCATGACTGATGGTAAGATGGCGGCATGAATGTTCTCAGAACATCAGTGCCGCCCTTCACGGTGTACCCCTACCTGGCTGGGGTGAGATGGATAAAAAGATTGTTCATCTTTTAACAGAGGACATAGAGGCCCTCAATCGACAGAGTGTCGGGGCCTTCTGAATCGGGAGGGGTCGTCTACAACATAATCCATAGCTTCCCTAACTACGAGCCTCAACCGTGTTACATAATTCATCTACAGTTAATCAATCAGTATTCAGGGCTTAGTATGTCATACATAAATTGGAAAATTTGCGCGTTTTAAATTGTATTTATGATTTTAAGAGTTATACAGGGTGTTTCAAATTCGATCCTCACAATTGGGATTTTGGAAACTATGAGAGATACGAAGATGGTTAAATTGGAGCAAAGTTGCGCATTCACCTGACTAACAATATGCCGTTGACAAAGTTCTGAAATTCCGAGTATATCCGTATATATCCGGAAAAACAGAAATTTCGGAAAATGATATTTATTTCTTTCTGGCTTTATTTTTCGAAGGATTCGAAGATAAATTGCACTTCCACACTGCCACTTTTTCCCTGCTACATGATGGTGTTTCCAGGTTTGCTATCCGACGTTTCGTCTTCCGGTCACCATCATCAACTTTATTTTTTCTTATGGCTGCTACATTCAATTCAATTCAATTTCATTTTCAGAACCATTTTACACACAATTGATATCAACACAATCAGTAATGTGAAAATAAATAATATAAATAAAATAATGGACAATAATTAATTGTTTGAGTTTTTTTAATGACTCACTGAAGTAGACTCACGCTAGGCAAATTAAACCTGTTTTGTGATGTCTAAATCAGCGTGGCATTTGTACAATTGTATATCTTATGTATAATTGTATTAATATGGTAAGTGAAGCTTTCTTACATTTTTTATAGAAAGACGATAAAAGAGAGAATTTAAAATTGGGGTTCAAATGAGATTGGATAATTTGAATCATTTCGATTGGGGTATAACCACTAATTGTGGTATTATTGTTGGATTCTTTCTATTTTGAATAGAACCAAATTTTACCTTTTCAATGATGTATCATAAGTTATCATTCTTTTTCGAAAAATTGGAGATATAGAAAAAAAAATATTATCATATAATAGGCTTTGACTTTGATTTTCTAAATTTGACTTTCAATTTGTTAGACTCAATGACATTTTGTTATTGTACAAATCATTGAATTTTTGACGAAAAATAGCTTTCACGAATGAAGAAAAAGAGATATGATACAAATTTATAACAAATACGATAGAAACAGTGTTAGGACATCGGAAATGTATTTAAACTTGTATCCCGAAAGACGACAACCACATCGAACTATGTTCAAGTTATTGAATCAAAATCTCACCGAGTTTGGTTCATTGAAAAAGCCGAGGAAAAAATACGGAGACACAAAGGTCCGAGAAACTAAAGAAAATTTGATAAATGAGGTATGTATGAGGTTAGTTAGACATTTTAACATGACTTATCAAAGGAGGCTGTCGACTATAAGTGAAGAATTTT